CTCAACGCTTCCGAGGTCGCCAAGTCCCTGGCCGCCATGAAGAAGCGCAAGGAGCTCGACGACGCCTTCCACTTTGACAACTCGGACGAGGCCCTCGAGCGACTTGTGGTTCACTACGGCAAGGTCTCCTCGCACTCCCAGGACACCCCCGGTGCCGCCTTTGACCGGACCGTCGGCCCAAGACCCCTGGACACTGTTCCGCGCCTGCTCCCCGAGGACCGCTCCATTCCCCGCTTGTCGTCGGACGAGGTGGCCGATGCCATCGTCAAGTCCCCCAAGCGCAAGTCCTCCGGCCCGGACAAGATCAAGGCCGAGATGCTGCACCCTGTCGCTCCCGTGGTCGCTCCCTGGCTCCGGGCCATCCTGCTGGCCGCCCTCAAGGCCTCCGTCGTCCCGACCGAGTGGAACACTGTCCTGATCCACCCGGTCTACAAGAACAAGGGTTCGATCCTCGATCCGGCCATGTACCGGCCCATCGGGTTGACCCAGGTCCTCCGCAAGATCGCCGAGCGAGTCCTGCTGCCGTTCCTCACCCGCGAGATCGGCATCATGGACATTGCCCAGGGAGGCTTCCGCCCGGACCGAGGCACCCTCGACCAGGTGTACTCGCTCGACGCTCTTGTCCGCATGAACAAGATCCGCGACGACGAGTACAGCCTGGTCTTCCTCGACATCAAGGCCGCCTACGACACTGTCTGGCGGGAGCGCCTCTGGGACAAGATCGCCGCCCGAGGTGCTGGTCCGGTCGCCGTCGGGGTCCTCAGGGCCATGTTCGACCGCACTCTTGTCCGCGTCGCCAGCAAGGGCCGCACGTCACAGCCTGTGTGGCTGCAGAAGGGTCTCATCCAAGGCTCGGTCCTGAGTCCCCTTCTGTTCAGTGCCCACATTGACGACCTGCCTGGACTGCTCCGAGCCGAGGACGGACTTGTGCTTGCCTCGAGTCGCCACCACCGTCTCCGGGTCAACTCGCTCTGGTTTGCCGATGACGGTGTCCTCATCTGTCCGGCTGGCCGCACCCAGGCCATGCTGGATATCTGTGAGCGTCACAGCATCTACAACCGGTACCGCTTCTCGCCGCCCAAGTGCGAGGTGCTGTACTCGGCCTGCAACGTCGACCAGCTCCATCCCGCCAAGCTGTACGGCACCGAGCTGCCCAAAGTCCTCCAGTTCCGCTACCTCGGTGTCATGGTCGACATTGACGGATTCCGCCCGGACCTCCAGTTCGACAAGCTCCTCCGCAAGGTCCACATGGTCACCGACACCGTGGTTGGACTCGGCATCACCCTCGGCAAGGTCTCGGCCAAGACCATCACCCAGGTCTACAAGACCTTTGTGCGGCCGACCCTCGAATACGGGATGGCCATGGACATCCCGGACCCGGCTCTGCGCGACCGCCTCGACGACGCCCAGATGACGGCCCTCCGCACCATGTTCCGCGTCGGTCCCGGCACTCCCGTCGGTGCCATGCACCTCAACTGCGGCCTCCCCAAGATGTCGGTCCGTGTCAAGATGCTGGCCCTGCAGAACTGGGCCCGCTGGGACGATCAAGTCTCTGACGGCGACAAGATGCTGTCGATGATCCTGCGCAACAAGATCATTGCGCCGTACCACCCCGACCAGTTCCTCGGCCAAGGAGTCCGAGCCGATCCGCACTGGGCCATGGTGGTCCGCCGACAAGAGGCCGACCACTCCCTCACGGCCACGGAGGTCTACCGAGGCAAGACCCGACACCAGCCGCCGCCGCCCGGACCGCCCCGACCCCAACCCGTCCCGATCAAGACCCTCATCTTCGAGGACCACATGAAGAACGGCTTCGACCGCTCCAAGCAACTCACCGCCGCCTGCACCCCGTCGACCAAGATGTCGGGACTCTGGGAGGCTCGCGGGTACCAAGGATCCATGGTCATGCTCATGTTCATGGTCCGATGGCGACTCGGGGCTCTCCCAGGCCACTTCAGGTTTGGATACCGCAAGTGCAAGAACCTGGCTCGACACGGATCCGGGATCGACTTGACCAGGACCCACGCACAGCAGTGTGTGGATCCGCATCAAGTCCTGGTCCGCAAGGTCGCAGCCCTCAAGACGGCCCACCCGACTTGGGTGGAAAGTGGTATAGCCGGAGTGGGACCAGTGGACAAGCTGCTGGACCTGCTCAGTTTCGATCGCACTCCCCCTCGCAGTCGCACCCCTCCCGCACTTGGATCGCTTGCTGCTCATGTACCCGCTCCCCGCACTGCCTTCCGAGCATTCGCACTTGGTGCACACCCAGCACCACCACCCACTCCCACACTTAGTGTAGTCCCACCCTTGCAGTCTCCACCTGCACCCCCATCACAGCGTAGTATAGTGCCAGCACTTGTCACTCCACCACCCCGACCTCCCCTCGATCCTGCTGTTCCCTTGTGGGAACTGCTTGAAAATGTGTTCACCCGCTTGGTCTCAGACCTTGTGGGCAGCTGAGGCAGCACTAGGCTGCAACAGGAGTAAATAGGCTTGCCTGTGTACTCAACGTGCCGGGGTACCAACCTGTTGGACCTGATGGCTTGTCTTCTTGAATAAAGTTGACTATAGTAACAAAAAAAAAAACCCCCCGTTCACAGGCGAGCAATTCCTTGGACACAAGCTGTTGCAAGACAAACACTGGCAACGACTAATGGCCAGGCAGGACACCAATCCTGAATTGACAGCGACCGAGGCCTTCCTTGGAACGGAAGCGTCGGCCTTAAGGAAGAAGGACAAAACCATAGGGACACAAAGGAGCTGGTTCCACCCGTTCCTCGACCCCGATAGACCACTACTCTGCAACAACCCAGAGTGGACACTGCGACTAGCCCGGGACCTACGGAAGAACAGGTATCTTCGAGCATTCCCAGACCCGGCTAACGGACGAGCACGACATCGACAGCGAGCCCAGGCTGCCCAAGAGGACGACTTGGCGATCCCTCTGCGAGAAGCCATCCTCACAGAACACATGAGGACAGCGTTCAAACGAGACCAACAACTCACAGCCGCATGCACACCGACAACCTCGATGTCGGCACTGTGGAGAGCCGAAGGATACACAGGTAGTCAGCCTATCCTCGAGCTAATGATTCGATGGCGACTTGGGATATTCCCAGGACACACCAAGGGAGGAAGCAGACCCTGCCGATGGTGCTCCAAGAACGGAATCAAAGTAGACCTTAACCGTTCCCACGCTCAAAGATGCGTCGACCCCAAAGGCATCCTGGCAAGAAAGGTCAACGAACTCGCACGGACCCACCCAAGCTGGGTCAAACCCACAGTCGAAGGAGTGGGGCCTATAGACATGCTGCTTGACTTGCTGGAGTTTGAAGCCAAGAAGGATAGAGAAGAGCAACAGCAGCACACTGGTGTGGGAACCCAAACACCAGGGAGAGAGAGACATGGCAATAACAATAATAATCACTCGGTGGGGAAGCGAGGGGAGAGACCGGGGCTTTTGATCGCATCAATAGTCTCGGATACAGATGATGACACTGGCATCAGTGATGCTGATGTAGACGACGACTTTGATGATCGAGATCGGCTCTGGAGCTCCCTACCGGGAGTGATTGCTCGGATGGGGAGGCTCCGACTGACTGGCCCCGAAGTGGACTCGGACCTTGGCTCTGAAGTCAGCTCAGTGTCAGACTACGACATTGACTTTGACTTCTTGGTAAGAACCGACCCAACGCCGAGACCAATCTGGGACGAGCTTGACGAACTGTCTCTCGATAGTGGAAGACACTACTGCTGGGACACTGACCAGAGTTTGGACTTAGTATCCCACTCCGATCATAGTGGGGACCTAGTGCCTCACTCTGACCTTGGTGGGGACTTAGTACCTCACTCCGACCAGAGTGTGGACTTGGTGCATTTGGGCACAGGTGTGGACTTAGAGCCCCACCACCCCGAACCGAGCTCAGACCTTGCCTCGGGGTCGAACTGGGGAGGAACCTCAGAGTCAGTCTCAGAGTCTGGCTCAGAGTACTCCCCTGATGGCAACCAAGACTCCCTCCCGAACCGAGACCGAAACCGGGCCAGGGAGACGAATAGACATCCGGTCCCCGGCCCTGAACCGAGAGTGGTTCCCACGCCCTCCCAAGGACGAAGTACTGACCCGATCCCAGAGTCCGACGATGACTTGGGACTAGGTCAGACCCCAGGATACGAGATAAATCCCGAGTACCCCTCCCACAGACAAACTCACACTCCTTTGAGGGCAAGTCAAGACCCAACACCGCACAGCAAACCCTGGAGTGGGTTCGAGTTGATACTAGAGAGGGACTTGGAGAAACCAGCCCCTGACATCCCGGAGCGGGACTTGGAAACGTGCGACTCCCTCTGGGAGTTATTAGAGGGAGTGTTCACCCGCATGGCTCGCCGTGTGGGCTGGAGAGTCGGCGAGAGCCGCAACAGGGGTGTATGAGCGAGCTTGGTCACCCACTGCCGGGTATCCTGCGATACTGATGGCATGTTGAATATTCCTGAATATACAACTAAAAAAAAAAAAAAAAAAAAAAAAAAAAAAAAAACCATGTCGGGCGGCGGTGTGCAAGAGCTCGAGACCTGCCAGGCCATTTGAGTGGTCTTGGATTATTCTCCGGCAACCTGTGGCGACCACCGCCCCATCGGCCGTGCCAGCACATTGCCAACGATCACCCACAGCCAATCTCAGACACACATGACCCTGCTCGCCTCTCAATAGCACGTTTCATATCGATGGCGACAACCAGAGTCCGACAGCGATGAGGTGCTCACCTGCCGTTGCCGGTACTGCATCGGCAAGGCTTTGCTCCGAGAGCATCCAAACCATCGCGCTGCGCCGTGCTCAGAATGGCGGACGAGACACTGAATCACATTCGGCACCAGAGGCATTGCTCTGTCTTGCAGAATCGACACAGACGACTAAAGCAACGTCATCTTTAACATCTCCACAAGTACTGCGGCCAATGTATTCATGATTTGCAGAACATAACCAGATTGGAATGTCGAGACCGCAACAATCAGAACCCCCGAACCTACCGCTCCAAAATCTCATGGTGCTGAGACGCCTCGATAGTTCGTATCGAAGCAGTAGTAATCCACTGGACCAACAGGGTTGAGCAACCAGTTCGGCATCATGAAGCCTCCGACGGCCTTTCCATTGGCATTCGTCTTCAGAAAAAGGAGCTGCAAGACACCAATCATTACAGCGGTGATTCCAGCGCCAGAGTCCAGGGCAGCGGATAGGACAAAGTTGTACTTGCGCCACCACTCGTTCTTGTAGCGGAAGAGGTAGAACTGAAAGACAAACGAAAGGATGAATGTCACCAGGACACAGTTCATGTTGCCGTTCTGAGGGCCGACCCAGTTGCTCATGATGGGGATGTTGATCAAGTGCCAGTACGGGTGCTTGTAGATCTTGTTGCCGAGCCAGGGGAGGATCGGCAGCAGAAATCCGACCGGGAAAGCCCACAGAACATCGTGGTAGAGAGCGCCGGGCCCAAAGAATCGAGCCGGGGCGATGGCGCCCCAGATCGTGCCCGCCGCAAAAAAGGTGCCGTGGCCGGTTGCCTGCCACTCGCCTTGGCCAAAGAGTGGCGACAGCGTAAAGGCGGTCGCGACGGGGGTACAGATGACGGCGGACATGATAGCGCCGATCACTTGACTGGCCACCATGGCTCGAGGAGGCACCTTCATGTAGTGGCCGATCTTGAGATCGTTGAGAAGCGTCTGGGCCTGGATCATGGTGTTGTAGCCGAGGGACTTGAAGGACATGACGGGAACGAGTTGGCCCGGGGTCAACATGCCGATCACAAACTCGGTCAGGACATTCAATCCGATGTACTGGCCCGAGAGGGCGGTGATAGTAGTGAGAGGAATGACAAAGAGGACACCCATGGCGATGGCCAGAACGACTCCCCACCACTGGAGACGGTATGGGGTTGCAAGGCCAACGATAAACATCAAGACGGTCGAGATCAACAGGATCAAGAGGTAGACCCAGTTGCTGACTTCGGGATACGCGGCCATGAGCTTGTTGTGGACATCCGGGTAATCCGAGTGGTGACGGACTTGTTTCATGGCAACTCGGGCCTGCTGCACAATGTCCTTGCCGTACCAGAGGGCGACGTGGGTGACGGACGAGGAGATGGTGATGAACGAGGTCACGTACACGATCACAAAGGTCATGCCGAGATGGACGGGGGCGGCTGAGGCATACTTGGCGGGGTCGAGCTCAAAGGTGGTGGGGTCGAGGAGGATATGGCCGTTGAGTCTCTGGCCCAGGGACGAGCCGTTGAAGAGGCCATTGCCGTTCAGAAACCCGCAGCCGTTGGGGCCGGGCTGGGGGCAGCCGATGGACTTTGCGTCCCACAGGTTTTTGACATAGGCGATAGGGACAACGATCCATGCCCAGACGACATAGCCAAAGAGCAGGACGCAGTTGGCCCAGAAGGGGGTGGTCAAGGGCTGGATGTAGCCGTTGAACTGGGACCAGTCGAGAGTGAGGGCCATGAGGCCAACGCCCTTGGTGGCCGAGCCAAAGATGTTGGTGAGGCTATTCTTTCCGGCGCGAAAGAAGCACAGAACTGCGATGCTGCTGAGGGCTGGAGCGATAAAGGTGGGAACGACGGCCCAGACGCTGTAGGCAATGAAGGCGAGCCAGAAGAAGCGGAAGCGGGACATGGAGTACTTGGAGCTGTAGCTGGCCGACTGCTCGCCCGTCCCGTGGAAGGAGGCAAACATGGCAAGGATACCCATGTTGCCGGGCCAATACATGGCGGCAGGCTTGACCAGGAACTCGCGGGCCATGCCGGCAAGTCCAAGGCCGAGACACTGGGTGGCGAGAATCCACAGGATCGAATGCCAGAGCTTGATGGCAGTGTCGTTGAGATAGACAGAGGCGATCTGGCCGACGACATTGTCGATGCCATACGGCGTGTTTGAGTTCGACATGATGTAGATCAGGACGTGCTCCTTGACAGAGAAGGGGCCGGGGTTGAGCGAGTTCTCGACACCAAAGAGCTTGAAGCGAACGTCGGGCAGAATTTTGGCGAGAAAGATACCCATTGGGTACGAGACAATCTGGTAGCCGACAGAGAGCGAGCAAAGAGAATGAGGATGGGGATGAGGCGGATGGTACACAGACGATCATGGTGCGAGTAAGAGTGTGCGACTGGTTGTTGCTGCAAGCAATAGCCATGCGCCTTGTCAGCTTACCACAGAGACATATGCCGGGACGGTAAAGGCGTTGGTGCGGAAACTGAGGACGACATTGACGGCCGAAGTCAATGCGGCGAAGAAGACGGCCAAAAACAGTGCGCGGATGGTGAAGCAGGGGGTCGAGGGGTCGTCGGTGGTGGGAACGACGGAGCTGATCTGGCTCAGGGCGTTCTCGGTGTCGTCAAACTCGGCATCGTCCTGGTCGTAGGTGACGATGGCAAAGACGCCGTCCTCATCCTGGCTTTTGATCCGGAAGGCGCTGTTGCGGTGGTCGTGGTGATACTCGGCCATGGTGCACAGACGACCTCGAGGATGGCGAGTCTATTGACGGCGGCTCATGGTGGCGGTAGCGTTGGGCTATATAGACGGAGACGTGTGCTTGACCATGGGGCTCTGATACGATTTTGGTGCGGCTCTGGTGCGGCTTTCGTCATCGCCAATGGCCCGGGTTCAAGAAAGAGGTGTTCAGACCAAGGAAAAAAAAAAAACGAGGACGATTTCCTTCATGGCGGCGACGGCGAGCGATGGGGACCTTGGCGGGGCTGGTGCCCTGAAAAGCGGCAGTGCAACTGTGCCTGCCGTTGTTATCGGCGGCAACGAGGTGTCGGCCATGCCGAGGATGGACAGAGCGAGTGATGGACAGAGCGAGTGATGGACAGAGCGAGGATAAACAGAGCGAGGATAAACAGACACAGTCGCCCACAAACAAACCGACGAACAAACAAACAAACAAACAAACAAACAAATATGTCTGTGGATCCAACCGAGGCAACTCTTGCATCAGAGGCAACTCTTGCATCAGAGGCAACTCTTGTATCAGAGGCAACCCGGTGTATAACAGCGATTCAACACATGAGAGGCAATCTAACACATGTAACATTCTAACACATGTAACATTCTAACACATGCGACATGCTCTCATTCTCGCATTCGAACGACGGCCGTCGCGCCACCGGCCCCGCCCGCGTTCGTCGTGGGCGAGCGCTTCCCATGGCGGCGCTTGCCGGGACATGGCCCGCCGACCGGGGTGTCCCAGCCCGGGTGTCGCAGCCGGGGGGGGTGTCGCCCGCGCTGCCCCTTCTTGACAATTCCTCTTAATACTCCCTCTTGACAATCCCTCTTGACAATCCCTCTTGACAATCCCTCTTAATACTCCCTCTTAATACTCCCTCTCGATACTCCCTCTTGACCTTCCATCGCGCAGCCACCGTCTCTTCCATACCCCACCAGCGCCCAATGTCCACTCCGCCCCTCCTTCCCCTCGAGAAGGGCCAGCATCCTCTGCCTCCAGCCCCAAAGCCCCTTCGTCTGCGCGGCGTTCTTTTCTACCTCGCTGCCGTCCTGCTCTTCTGGGCCGTCGTCCCCAGCAACCTCCTGCGGTCGCTCGCAAAGTCTCTTGTTCGCAGCACGGCCGATCCTCTCGCCGATCCCCTTGCCGATCCCCTTGCCGATCCCCTTGCCGATCCCCTCGCCGGCCCGTCCTGCGAGCAGCCCGCGCCCCTGTTCCCTCAGCTCGATCCCCTCATCTCGCAGCATTATGATCTGATCTTTTCCTCGGACAAGTACCACGCCCTCGCTGCCGAGCATCTGTCCAAGGCCATCCAGATCAAGACCGTCTCGTATGATGACATGCGCCGGGTTGTTGCCGGCGACCCTCGTCTGCTGCCCTTCCTTGATTTCCACCGCCTGCTCGAGTCGCTCTATCCGAATGTGTAAGTCGCTGAGCTGCCGCGCCGTTCCTTGTCGAAGCGAGACCAATTCGCATCCATGCCGGTTGATCAGCCACAGTGTCTGATACGCGCACATCGCAATATGCCTTCGTTCAGACGGGCCGTGCAAGTCCCCCGAAAGTGCAATGTGATCCGCTCGCTAACATCGCACATTGATCAATTGCAACGGCCCGTAGTCACCAGAACCTCACCCGGGAGGTCATCAACGAGTACGGCCTGCTCTACTCTTGGCCCGGCACCAACCCCGACCTCAAGCCCCTGCTGCTGATGGCCCACTTTGATGTCGTTCCTGTCGCCGATTCCTCGCTCGACCAGTGGGAGTATCCGCCCTTCTCCGGCGCCATCGAGAATGGTCGTGTCTGGGGACGAGGCGCTTCCGATACCAAGGGCACCCTCATGGCCATCCTGGAAGCTGGTGAGTCATCGTGTTGCCCATATGCGTCCCCTCTGCAGCCCTGCTGATCTGGCGCCTCTCTCTTGTCCGCCTGCAGTTGAGATTCTGCTGGGCCTGGATTTTCATCCGGCGCGTGGAATCTATCTCGCCTTTGGATTCGACGAAGAAATCAACGGCTTCAATGTAAGATCGAAAGTCGCTCGGCTCATCTGGTTGATTCACTTTATATCGGACGAACCTGGGCATTCGGGACATTTGGGTGATGTGGAGGATTCGAGTGATCTGGCCCGATCACTTGACCTAACCTTGATGTTTGATCGCGTTCTTCGATCCGCATCCTTGCTTCCGCTCGTCGTCAGGGTGCCGGTCACATCGCACAAACCCTCAAGGATCGCCACATTGATTTCGAGTTTATTGTCGACGAAGGCACCGGCTTGGCCGACAACTACAATACCACCTTTGCGCTTATCAGCACAGCAGAGAAGGGCTATCTCGATGTTCAGATCAATGTCACCGCTCCTGGCGGCCATTCCTCCATGCCTCCGCCTCATACCGCCATCGGCATCCTTGCCGATGCGCTCGTGCATATCGAGGCCAACCCTCACCACCCAAATCTCCCCGACAACAACCCCATGTTCGATGCCGTCCAGTGCTTCGTCGAGCACGGCCATCATGTTGATCCCAAGCTCAAGAAGCTAGTTCAGCTTGCCAAACATGACTCACATCATCGCAAGGCATTGGTTGACTATCTCTCCAAGAACTACGTGCTTGGTCTGCAGATGCTCACAACCCAGGCGGTCGATGTCATCCAGGGCGGTGTTAAGGGTACGTATAATCCATCCCAATGTCGGAGCACAGCCGCATGATGTCACTGATATTCCGGCTCCCTCCCCCCCCCTTCATCAACACCCCATCAGTGAATGCCCTGCCCGAATCGGTCTTCGCCCTCGTCAACCACCGCGTGGCAGTCGACTCTTCGACCACTCATGTGCTCAAGCGTCTTCATGACACCCTGAGTCCGCTCAAGAAGAAATACGGAATCGAAATTGTCGACAACTGGGGAGAGGACGGGATCCAAACGAACAATGCTGCCGACCCGATCGTCCTCACCATCAGCCCCGTCCAAATCCTGGAGCCCTCACCCCTGACCCAGGCCAAGGGCAGATCTTGGGACACTCTCGCTGGCACCGTTCGACGAGTGTTTGGCGCCCACGTCGTTGTCTCTCCCAGTCTTATGTTTGGCAACACCGACACCCGCCACTACCTCGATCTCTCTCACAACGTCTACCGCTTCAGCCCCGCTCACCAGAATCAAGCCGGCGGAGTCCACACCGTCAATGAGTACATTGAGATCCATGGCTTTGTTGGCAGCGTCAAGTTCTATCACGAGCTCATCCGTAACTTTGTGGAGACCGCCTAGATCAGTTCCAAGAAGCACTATACCAATTCGGCCAACCTCTCCACTGCTATAATTGAAGTGGCATCAATCGAACAGGATCAAATATAAACTTGTGCTCCATATCTGGCAACTGCATCATATGTTCAGGTGTGATTACTGGTGATAAATACGAGAATGGCCCTGGGTGGGTGGGTGGGTGGGAGGTCCCTCGTCCTTCGGCTGAATGACACACAGAGTTGTGTCATCCGAGCAATCCATCGCAAACGTTGGGAGAGTGATTCCCCAGCGATTGAGTGACGAATTCAACTTGAAACCGCAACCGACACGTTGCTGCACAGCGTTGGCGTATCGGTCGTGGATTGCATCCGATCATTACGAACGTCGCCAAAACACCCACAATACGTGTATATCCAATGAGATGGAGGTGTACCCTGAAAGACGAACACTTGTTGTGTGTTGGCCTCGAGGACAGAGGGACATGCTTGGGTTTGGGGATTGAGAAATTGAATCAACGAGCCAGAACATGATTCTGCTCCACCACTCTCGTTAGGATCGACCTTTGAGAAGCTGTAGCTTGAGCGGAACAATACAAGGCAAAGGTGACCCTGAGTGTTCACCACGTATACTGTCTTCGGTACAGCGGCCCAGCCTTAGTCTGGTGGTGCTCAAGTACGAGGAGATGCTGGGACTGTGGGCTGGGACTGTGGGCCGGGACTGTGGGCTGGACATACACCTCTTCCCTCTCATGCTGCCACGAGACACTCCCAAAGGCAACCACAATACCTGTCGCTTGCACGCTCCACATGGTCGCGGTGGATGTGTGTGTATTCATAATCCAGAAACAAGCCATCATCCACGCTCAGAAACAGGGTATCCCGTTTCGTCTTGGATGCGCCGGATACAAATTCATCGCCTCAGCCCAGTGTGCGCACTTGTGCGCCGTTCTCCTTAGAAACCGACAGAGATGGAAGACGATCGAGGGATCTTGATCCAGAGAGCAATGGAGCACAGCGGCCTGACAGCGGCCGCACACTGGCCTGACAGCGGCCCGACAGCTTTGGACTTCCGAGTGCGACGGGGAACAATCAGGCGTGGGGTTGTCCATTGATGGAGGAGCCCCGCTGGGAATTCTCCAGGGACAGTTCTATTGTCCTTTCATTGTTCTTGGCACTTATTGTTGGTGGCATTGATGTCTCGGACGTTTGCTACCCCACCTCGGAAGCTATAAATCCGCCTATTGGCCCCTTCTGGTCGCTGGAATATCACCGCTCCGATATCGACCTGTCTTGTTCCAACCTTGGCCCATCCAGTCGGGTAGGCTCACTGACTTTTGCCTGCATTTGTTTGGGGGGGGGTCGCTGTCCTTGCATTTCGGTGTTTATTCTCCTGATTTTGATGCTGCGGGGATGCTGTGGGATGCTGTGGGATGCTGTGGGATGCTGTGGGATGCTACTCTTGTCCCGTGAGCTTGACTGCATGGCTTCTGCACATGCTCTTTGGCAAGCGGCACTGGATTTTGACTGTCCATCGAGCCGATATGGCCATTTTGTTGTACCGGTCACTTGAGTGTCTTCCATCAGCGCTGCCTGCTGGAGACAAGGGTGCTCCCAACTGCGCCATGTGGGGCGCTCACTCACTCGCTTATCAGTCACACACTTTTCATCGTATTGTTCCTTTGGTGCCGAGCTGGGTCGATTCGGTTGATCAGCTCACCTATCTGACATTCGGACTGCACGATAGATCTCTCTTTCCAAAAATGCTCGTCTCCCGCTTCGGTATCCTTCCTGCCGCCTTTGCCGGTTTGCTGACGATGCAACAAGCTTATGCCCAGGGATCCGGTTCCGGAAGTGCCTACCAAAAGACCTATACGCCCAGTCCCGTCTACGGTGCCGGTCACAACTGCACCACCTACAACGATTGCCAAGGAGCCCTCGTATGCACCGCAGGCCAGTGTGCTGCCAGTACCGACGGCACGTACCATCCCAAGTGCAACTGGCAGGGCCACTGTCTCGGTGCTGCATGCTATACCGACAACGACTGTGGTGCCGTCGGTGGCGACGAGCTCGAGTGCTTCAAGGGCAACTGTTCGTACCCCCCTTCGTACGGCGACTATACTCCCACGGTGGCGTGCAGCTGGCCCGGCCATTGTGTCGGCGATTCCTGCTTGATTGACGACGACTGCGGCCAGTCCAACGGGAAGGAACTCGTCTGTGTGGGCAGCAAGTGTGCCGTCGATACCACCAAGCCTCCGCCTTCTCCGTCCAAGTGCAACTGGCGCGGCCATTGTGTGGGTAGCGCCTGCAAGGTGGATGACGACTGTGGCCGCCTGCTCAATGGCACCGAGTTGGTTTGTGCGAGTGGGCAATGTGCTGCCTCGGCGTCGGCACCCTGCAACTGGCGCGGCCATTGCGAAGGAGCTGACTGCAAAGTCGACGACGACTGTGGGGACCTGGCCGATGGTTCGCCCCTGGTTTGTGTCAGCAACAAGTGCGCCAAAGTGCCCGCTCCTGGCTACATCACCTGCAACTGGAAAGGTCACTGCGCAGGTGCCGGCTGCTCAACCGACAACGACTGCGGCCGTCTTGCAAATGGCACCGAGCTCGTTTGTTCGGCGGGCAAGTGCGCCATGGATACTACCGGGGCATACCCTCATGACACATGCAACTGGGCCGGACACTGTGCTGGTGCTGCCTGCGCTGTCGATAGCGACTGCGGTGTTCTTTTCGATGGCACCGATCTCGTTTGCAACAACGGCCAGTGCGGCAAGTCGCCCGCCAACAAACCTCCCTACGACTACCCCACTCCCGACGACAAGCCCTCCATCAAGCGATGCAAGGCCAAGTCTCCCAACGTGGGCCCCAAGCCCACCAAGCCTTAGGCCGGGAATTGACACTCTGAAATCGAGCGGCTGAGTAGTAATGAATAGTTTGATATGGGCCTTGTGGAGCAAAGGAAGCTTAATTGATAGCACACCCAAGACGAAACGGGATACCCTGTTTCTGAGCGCGGATGATGGCTTGTTTCTGGATTATGAATACACACACATCCACCGCGACCATGTGGAGCGTGCAAGCGACAGGTATTGTGGTTGCCTTTGGGAGTGTCTCGTGGCAGCATGAGAGGGAAGAGGTGTATGTCCAGCCCACAGTCCCGGCCCACAGTCCCGGCCCACAGTCCCAGCCCACAGTCCCAGCATCTCCTCGTACTTGAGCACCACCAGACTCAGGCTGAGCCGCTGTACCGAAGACAGTATACGTGGTGAACACTCAGGGTCACCTTTGCCTTGTATTGTTCTGAACGAGTTGCGTCGCATGTTCTGAACGAAACGGAACACTGTGTCTCTGAGTACTCTCCACATCAACCATCGTGCCAACCGAGTCTCCATAAGTTCGATGTGTGCTCCATCCCCTCCCATGCTTGCACGAGGTACTCCCAAAGGCAACAGGAATGTCGGCCGCTTCCGCACTCCCTTTAATCATGGTATATGGGCCTGTGTTCACATTCAGACACAGTCATGATCTTGGCTCGGAAATGGATATCCCGCTTCGCTCGGGCGGCCTGTTCGCTTTGGCGCATCGACTTTCCCGCCCAAGCTCGATGCCGCCATTTCCGCGCATTCAACTGGGCGCCATTGTCGTTCCCGGCCTCGCGCCATCGTCAAAAGGGCGAAAGATCGAAGGACTGTCTGAATTTGCGCTCGCCCACCTTGAGTCAAGCCTCTCGATATCGCTGCTCCTGCCATCGGCCCCACCGACATCGCCTCCTGCCTCTCCGTACATCACTCGGACACTCGCTTGTCCCTATCCCACACCCACATCACCAACCATACTATCAACAACAACCCACTCCAGCGCCATGCTCCAGGATTCGTCAGCCAAAACAATCGCCGCTCTCTTTGGGCTCCTGGTGCTTACATGGGACTCCCATGCCGTGCCCTTGGAATCACCTCCGAGCTCGACTGCCACCAGCAGCATCAAAACCTCAGCTGTCTCAGCCGGCCTCGCCTCGACGAGCTCCTCGACCGCTCCTGCGCCGATAACCCTGACCAATCCGGTTCCCATGCAGACGGCGGCCCTGACGGTCAATCTGGTCAAGCGAGGAACAACCGCGGCAGCGTATCCCCCTGCCTCTACTCAAGCGCCAACAACCCTGTCAACTCGACTCTGCTCCGAGGCTCTGGCCACCAAGGAGTGGAAACTGATCCAGCGCATCTTTGTTCTCACATATCCCAACTCTACGGCAGTGCCCGTGTTTTCGTACAACACCTTCTATCCCATCAAATGGGCATTCCAGGCTCCCGAGAACCTGAACACAAGCTCGCCACGTCTGGCCCGAATCAACCGTGTGATGGCGCATTCGATCGACACCCCGGGTGCATCCGATATCTTCGCTAGAACTGTGCCGGCCGTCCCGCTGACTCTGGGATCACTGCAGTTTTATCCGTCCGGCTCGGTAAACGCGCTCACCCCACTGGACGCAACTACCGCCCTGAGCGGACATTACTGCTGGCGCCTTAACGTCGACATCGACGGCCTCACCGAGACCGCCGGGTTCGACGGCAAGGGTTGCGATATTGACTCAAATCCCTGGCTACTCCAGTAGGAGCCAGTAGAGGGCGAGGGCAATATCGCTTTCGTGGCTTGTGGAATATGTTGCTGTGACGATGGCAAAGATAACCGCAATGCTCGCAAAATGAAACGAGAGGCACCCTGTGCTCATCGCTGGCTTTGAACGGAATACAGCCTCGTTTACCATCCACACTGTCCACCCGCCACACCATCGATATCAGCGCCACAGTGCTGCGATTTCTGAGGAGACACCCCTTGATGGATGGTCTCGTGGCCCAAACAGGGCCCATGGGTTGTGCCTGCTGACCGGGCATGGGACTGCGCCCAAAGCACCACCCGCCATACAAATGGCCATCGTCCTCCATCACCCGAGCCCATCGCCTCCCGAACCCACCTGCCCTCTTCAAACCCACCTGCCCAACGCTCGCCTCCGCCATGAGCTGCCCGAATCCCCAAGAGTTCTGGATGCCCCTCGATCCTTCGCCCGAGACCAGTGTCAACTGGCGATACAAGGAACTCGACCCCATCACGGCCATCGAGCGCCAGTACCTCGGAGTGATGAATGCCATCCTCGACAAGCCGCAGTGGTGGGCAAAGCTCAAAGATCCAGAGATCCAGCAAAAGTGGCGGCAAGAGTCCGGCCTCGGCGAGGCGGCCTTCGGGTTGCTCCTCCAGGAGCTTGCCTGCTATGCGCGAGACTTTATCCAATCCAAGGAGTGGCCCAACGTCTCGCCCATCCCTGCCCACGGCGTCTACATTTCGGATCTCTCGATCAGTCCAGAGCTGCGCCAGCGGCTCCTCGAGCATGCCGCACCTCTGGAGCAGGAAGCCCTGGTCGAGGGCCGCTGGCATCCCGGCTCCAAGGGCATTGTGCTGGATCTGGTCCATCCGTCGCCCCACTGCCTTACCTTTGGCAAGTCCCGCTTCTCCAAAAACCCGCAGGCCCTGACCGGCACCGAGACCATTCACTGGCAAGGCACACCCGACACTCGCCGAGACATCTCGGCCAAGTATCAGTGGCTGCCCGCCGAGTTTGAGATCGATGCCGACGGCCACGTCTCCATCGCGTCCTACATCAACAACCTCCATCCCGAGCTCCACAAGGCTCTCTATGGCGATATCGAGCGCATCTTTGAGGCCATGCTGCCCATGTTCGAGCTCACGGTTGACTCTCTCAACTCGTCGCCTCGCAACCGCATCGACGTCGACTATGGTAAGCTGTTTGACCACGACCTCTACGACTGGCGCCGCCACATGTGGAAGGAGCATCGCCAGCAGCTCCGCAAAGCGCAAGCCGTTGAGGCCGCTCGTGTCGGCGACGACGGCCAGCCCACCACCGATCATGGCCACAGCAACGATGACGATGGCGAAGATGGCGATGAGAAGTGGGACTGGATGTACGCCCTCGAAGACACTCGCGAGCTCCACGTTCCCCAGCTGCCCGAGAAGTTTGAGCCCGACGTTCCCAGTCCCGCCAGATTCCGCGCCCGATCCGTGCAGGCCATCGTCAAGTTGGCCACGATCCACCTCACGCCCGAGAATCCGCGCTATGACGGCGGCAGCTGGCACATGGAGGGAATGGAGAACGAGGCCATCGCCGCCACAGGCATCTACTACTACGACATGGAGAACATCACCGACTCTGTCCTGCGCTTCCGCCACGCGTTCGATTCCATGGCCTTTGAGTACGACCAGGGCGACCACCGCGGCATTCTCGAGGTCTTTGACGTCGAAAACGACACCGAGGCCTTGATGGAGCAGGGCCAGCTCACGGCTTTGCCTGGTCGATGCGCCACGTTCCCAAACTTCCTGCACCACCAGGTGCAGCCATTTGAGCTTGCCGACAAGACCAAGCCAGGCTTCCGCAAGGTCCTGTGCTTCTTCCTCATCCACCCCCGGAACCACATCATCTCCACCCGGCAGGTTCCTCCCCAGCAGCGATCGTGGCTCCGCCATGCGCTCTACAGACTACTCCGCCCAAGACTGCCCGAGCTGTGTATCGATCGCATCCAGTACTACCTCGACTGCGATATGTCGATGCAGGATGCCTATGCCCACAGCGAGAAGGTCATGGACGAGCGCAAGGCAGCCAACAGGGACCGCGACTATGAATACGTTTCACTTTGCGAGCACTAGACCGACAGCCGGCAGCGTCTGTTGGCTTGAAGGTGTCCTGGAGCCCGAAATATCAGCAATAACCATATGTATACTGTCATTAGTCAAAGGGGAAGTGTGACGCACCTGTTTCTGTTTCTGCTGCTTCAATGTGCAGTACTGAGCTTAGGAATATAACATGTTCAGAAAAAAATGTGCTGTCCATTTTTCTCGCATCGGATGCTTGAAATCTGCTTATTGTCTGCTGGACTCGGTAGGCAGGCAGGCCATGGGATTGTTTCCTGTCTTGGTTGGCAGTCGATTGTTTATGGTTGGTTTAGGAAGCAACTTTTTGAATGCATCCGGTCAATCTCCCGCATTGCAACATCAATACCAGCTGGTCATCACCGCATGAGCAGTACGGGCATTCGACCCGCTGTGCAGGCATTCGACCCTCTGTACAGCTCCGGACAAGGTGTGGCTTTCTCGATATCAGGATACTCGACCTTCTCAGGTCACGATGGACGATGGACGATGGACGATGGACGATGGACGATGGACGATGGACGTGTGCTCATGACCAGAAAAAAAGCAACGCTGACTCAGTCAGGGTGTCCCGTTTCTTGAGTGCGGAATAAACGACCCAATCACAATTCTTGCAGAGCTGCTGATGGTTACTCCCCTGGATGTCTCGGCTAAATTGAGCCCATTCCTTCAACGAGGCACATACAATTGATAGTGAAGCGCATATCGCTGTCCACACCCACACCCACAGCCAGACCCACACCCACACCCACAGCCAGACACCGAGTCTACAGATGTAGTGCAGTGTATTGTATGCCCCACCATACAGCCAGGAATAACTCCCAATGATTTATTGACCGAAAGAATCCAGACTCGTGGCGCTTAAGCAGAAGCAGAGTTGCGCATGGAAGAGAGACGTCTCTTCAGGTGAGCCTCGTGGCGCTTCTCCTTCTTCTCCTTGATGCGCTGAGCGAGGATCTTGGCGTAGTCAGCAGCCTGCTCCTTAACGGCCTCAGCCTGTCTCTTCTTGGCAGCAACGCGGCTGCGCTTGCGCTGGAGGGTGACGGGGGTGACAAGACGCTGGATCTTGGGGGCCTTGGAGGTGGCGGGCTTGCCCTCCTTCTTGGAAGGAACCTCACGGCGGATGACGTACTTGCGGACATCGTCGTCCTTGGTGAGGTTCTGGAAGCCCATGACGAATGATCTGCGTTAGTATGGGCACGAAGGACGATCCCACCGGCATATCACGCATATAAAAAAGCCAACAAAGCCCGAAAAACAATCCAGATTCTCATGGCCACTACAGAGCTTGGCAGCCTAGTCAATCGATACGCACAAACATCTTGCGGATCTTGGAGGCACGCTTGGGGCCAAGGCGCTTGGGGACCTGCTTGTCGGTGAGGCCGGGGATATCGTTCTCACCCTGCTTGACGACGATGAGGGAGAGGGCGGACATGTCGGGACCCACAATGCAGCCACGGACGGACTTTCTCTTGCGCTCGCCAGTGCGGCGGGGGCGGTAGCAAGAGTGGCCCTTGGCGAGCAGGAGGCGGACACGGTGGTTGACGAGGACACCCTGCTTCATGGGGAAGCCCTGCTTGTCGTTGCCACCGGCGATCTTCATGACGTATCCCTTGAACTCATCTCCGAGAGCATCAACGGCGACATCGGTGGAGATGCGCTTGTCGTAGAAGATACGGCTAGTTACGGCACAAGTGAAACCGAATGAGCAGGTCAGTTATATGCTCGATGGTGCCGAAACAGCCCGAAAGTGTGTGGACGCCGATTTCGTCGCTGTTGAATCCCTGAGATGCTCCAGGAACGCCGTCAGATTCACCCAGTGCCATCCGAGCCAGGAGACAACTTACAGGCGACGCTCATCGTCGATTTCGACCATCTTCTGGGCGCCAGTGGCGGGGTAGGCAATGTTCAACTGCACAAAGCGGATGAGGGTGGGGCAGGGTGAAAAGGATGATCGAAGCACCGTGTCAACGAGAGGATAGAATCGGCAAAGGCAGAGTAAGGGATGTCTGTCCAGATCAAGACTTGGGTGGATCGGATAGCGGTCACGCCACAGCGCAATTCAGAAGATCCGGAGGTTGAATCGGACAGCAGGCGAGGCCTGATCGATGGTGGATCCAGAGACACAATGTCGAGCAAAGTGGACAAGTTCATTTGTCGGAGAAACCCATACATCTTGCATTGAGAGCACCGCTGATGATCGACTCGAGCATTTTCCATGCAGTCATGCAGCCAGTATCCGGTATGGTCGCGGATCCGCTTCACTGCCGCTTCAACTACTCGTCCAGACATGCAGGGTTGTTCCGCTGATTTTGATTTCCAAAAACTCGATAATCGATTCTCCGATATGGCTGTGCGAGGACCGAAAACCCGGGCGAGCGACCGGCCAGGAATTGGGATATATCGCCGCTCAAGCGTTGAGGCAGATGAACGGGCGGATGGGCGGATGGATGGATGGATGGATGGATGGATAGATGGATGGATAGATGGATGGATGGATGGATGGATGGATGGATGGATGGATGGATGGATGGATGGAGATGATATTCACCTTCATGTTGCTGGGAGTTACGCTGAAGCCGTTGCTTGGAGATTTAGGCCTAGTAGCGGAAAAGGAAGACTAAACCCAATGCGCAATCGCCACGCTTTGAAACGGGACGCGCTGGGCCGCGAGCCACCACCCAGCGAGCGACCGACGCCGAGACGGGTGTGGCGCAGAGTCACGTGCATAGCAGCGCACCTGGACGCCGTGACAGGGCCAAAACGAGGGCGGAAGGATGGCGAGAATGGGGACAGACACAGCATAGGAGGCGATGGAAGGACGATGGGGGCGAAGAAGGACAGGGAATAATAATGTGAGTGAATATATCAATCGTATTCATTATGATAAACAGCGCATATTGACAGATCGACATTGGAGAGAAACACGCTGGTGGATGAAGATGCCAAGCTCGTGTGGGTCGGATGAAGATGGAATAGAGAATGGAAAAGCAAAATGGTGCATTCAACAACTACAAGTTGGTCGTGCGAAACTCACTCGGACCAGGAAGTACGGACGATATACAGAAGCCCGGCAAGTATTGGGCAAAGCCAATGCAAATGTAGAAACAGGGGGAGTACTCTGAGATGGCAAGTGAGACAAACGTGGGAAAGGGGAGAAGATATCCAAAAATAAGTATAGCGCAACAGCTTTTGGGAGTATTCGCCTTTACAATAGGGATCCTGTGTGAATTATCCAATATATCTGATGAAAATGCAATCAAAGGAAAAATAGTGGTGTGGATACCGATAATGAATAACATTGATGGATGGATGGATGGATGATAATGGAGAGAAGAGAGGAGATGATAGGTTCATAGAACGAGTACAACGAGCACTGTATACGAGGCAGGGGAGGCGTGGAGGTGTGAAAAGAAAAATATGAGATTTGAATTCTGAAAAAGTTCATATACCGTATTTGAAGCCAATTTGCTACGGACCGATGGTGTAGTGGTTAGCATGCCAGCCTTCCAAGCTTGCGTCCCGGGTTCGAATCCCGGTCGGTTCATTTTACTTTTGGTTTTGGCGACACCGAGGCGAGGGTTCGAATCCCACTCTCGTCACTGTTTTTGATGCTCGTCGCTCGATGCCTCCTGTTTGCCATGAGTTTGCCATGGGTTTCCCATCTGTCGACTTTTTTTTCCTGCTCCTTGGACTTTGCCAGCCACCGCCATAGCGACTCTGCAAGTGACTCTGCAAGTGACTCTGCAAGTGACTCTCTGAGCCCCCGCAGCGTCGTCGTCCGAGCCATCGCCCGAAACTTGGATCCATGTGTGCAGCCACGATCCGCGCGAGCACATTGCCAACACCGCCCTCCCCCCCAGACCAGACCGTGCGACAGAGGCGGGAGCGGAATGGGGTGCAGTAGGATGCAGCGAGCAAGCAGAGAGTAGGCGCAATGGGATGCAGTAGGGTGCAGCGAGACGCAGTGAGAATGAGAGTCAAAGTGAATAATGGACGGAGAAAAGACAGAGACGGGGGCCAGGCGAAGTGGGCAGCAAAAATGCTCCGCACAGGGATCGAACCTGTGACCTTGGCGTTATTAGCACCACGCTCTAACCAACTGAGCTAGCGGAGCCAAACAATGGTTTCGTCCGGGATCGAACCGGAGACCTTGAGTGTGTTAGACTCACGTGATAACCAACTACACCACGAAACCTCGTGACTATTCGCTTCACCCGCTCGCCCCATGTCCCAACCCGCCCAGTTTCCATCATCGAATCTTCGGCACTTGGCCCCGCCACCGGCCACGCCACTGGCCCTGCCCAGAATGCCTTGCTCGCCACAGGCGCGACCCAAGATGTCTCGCTTGCCACCTTCTCAGGCACTTTGCGGGGCTGGCCGCACCGATGCCGGTGGTATCGGCTGCTCAAGCCCGAAGAGTGTTTCTCTGGCGGGTTGGGGTTCCCTCCCATGGGATCGAGAGTCGCGGTGACGGCTGCGGTGACGGCTGCAGCGACGGCTGCAGCGACGGCTGTAGAATGTCCTGGCTGGCAAGGCCAGCAACCAATGCCATCGCTCAGTTCCATCGCTCGGTACCATTGCTCAGCGACAACCCAGTGTCAATCCAGTGCCAGGGCCAGTCAGAGACACCAAGGCAAAAGCCTTATATATGCACCCGCTATGGACTCCACTGACTCCATTGACCCCATCGACCCCATTGACTCCATTGACCCCATCGACCCCATCGACCCCATTGACTCCACCACGAAATGTGACCCCGAGGCCCTCACCTGTTTCCGCTTGCTGCCAGTGCCAAGCTCTGCTATCACACCCGGCCAAGCTCTGTCACCACTCCGAGCCAAGCTCCTCTGTTACCACACCCAGCCAAGCTCCTCTGTTACCACACCCAACCAAGCCATACCAAGCCATACCAAGCCATGCCAAGCCATACCAAGCCAGGCCGCCCGCTGAAAGATCACGCTCCTTTCGCCGCGGATGCACAACTATCCCAGGGGCCATGTGGGCATGGACTGATCCTGGACTCGATCTGAGCGTGATTTGCACTGGATATGGACGGAGTCTGCACTGGATATGGACTGAGCCTGGACTTTATTGTTTCTTCCACGAATCTCTCAGAGCTCACAACATCACATACCAGGTCAGTATATTTTGCCATATTTTACTATTTTCCCGAGCATCATCACCTCCCTGTTGGAGTATTTCGCTTATTCAATCATTCATTTGATGACTATTTCAAATGATGTGGCACTGTATCACTTTGTTTATGGTGTGAATGCAAGTCAATCGTTTGGGACCAGAACTATACCCTCCCGATACTGTGCATTCTCATCAAATTCACGATGTGAACCCCAAATTGCTGTCTCGATTGCGTGACAACGCTGCAGTGAGATTTGCGACGGCCAGCTGGGTGGCCTATCGCCGTTCTCATTACCTCGTGTTTGATCGAAGGACCCATGGGTTTGTATCAGTCAGATGGAAAATATCTCTTCTCTCCTCTGTGGTGTCACATACCGGTTCAAAACCCCCTCCTCCACTCTTCTACAACGCTCTTGATATCAGGTGGGTATCGCATTGTTCATGAGGCCGCTTCAGGAGTGTGGCTCCTCAGTCAGTTTCCTGATCATGCTGCCATCGTATTGAGTTATTGTACCAGTTTCCACAGCTACATAACAATGTTCCACTTCTGTGACTCCATATTCCACCGCATCCAATATTCATACTATATTGGAAACCTGGGTTATTGATTGTTTTTTCGTTATTAATCGATAATCTGCCTCCTCCAGTTTGTGGCACGCCCACTCGGTATCAGATATGGAAGGCTCAGGATCACGGCCACTTGCCAAGTCGCCTGAGGTTGCCTAAGGACATATGGAGGCCCTGTTCTGCAAACTTCGTCCACCAGTAGACGGCCCTATCGGTACCTTGCGCGGCGCCTTCACCACCGTTGTAAATAACACCAAGCAAATATTGTCCGTTTCGATCACCCTGTTCGGCCGATTTACCATTACAGTTGGCTGCCTAAGCAATATCCCTAGTAACACCGCGGCTCCAATGATAGCAGTAATTATTAACCACCTATTACCCATACGAGTTTCCTTCGCGAGCAGATTCACTGAGCCACTCGAATGCCTTCGATTCATTATTTCAAGTTCCACGGCCGTCATTGAAGCATATTCTTATCCAGAGCTTGCCGTCGCTGTGTCTCCCGTCATTGAGCTGCTCAAAGTCTTCTGCTCCCTTCTCTTGGCCCGCTACAGTTCCGAACACATGGACGAGACACACAGCCATTAGCTTCTTGCGCGGCTAGTCTTCCCTGATAGGCAGCCTCGGAATACAATTTGATGACGGTGGCGAAGTCCTGGGCAGCACTTTCGCCGCTCGCATAGCATAGACCGAGGACCACATCAGGTTTGAGCGAGCCCTCCATCGGCAAGCCTATGACACAGTTTGGCGGGTGTTGCGTGATCTTGGTCGACGTCACGACCGTTGGGATAGCAATCTGCACGACGAATTTGTGCTCTCGGATGGATTGCATGGGTTGCTGCTTTCGGGTGGCCAACGATCCGTTGTAGTGTGGTTTGACACTGCGGTTCGGTGGCCGGCTGTTTCCCGTCGACGTCGATTCGGAGTATCCCTAATAGGAGAATGAAGGGGATGCAAGGCGGCAATCGAGAGGAGATACAAATCCTGGTCGAGCGAGTGCCAAGCCACACCCGCCTCAGGACATCATAGAGGCTCATGAATCTATTGGGGGAAGTTTGATCATAATCGCCGTGGATGTGAGACGAGGATGGCATTCGTTCAAATCATCAACCAATTTAAAAATCCCCGTGTAGTGTCATGGGATTTCCCTGGGTGAGATCACTGTGGGACCAACATCTCCCGACCAAGTTGTTTGCGCTCGCGTCGAGATGGCGAAAGATCCATACAGGGTCCTGCGATGATCTCGGTTGGCTGGCGGGCCAATGGGATCTCACGGGATATTGGACGAGCCCGAGGAACTGACTCTGTTCGGCACGGCTCTGCTGGAAAGAACCCTGCTCCCAGCCAAGAATTGTCTGAAATGCCAACCAGGGACGGACCAAGTTGATCTGTCGCAAATAACGATCCATTGAGCTGTTGATACCGACCATACAGCGCTTTGTCGCTTTGGGGACAGATTGGATCAGATGTTAGCCATCCCTGAGCCATTCAAATCGAGACCCGAGGACATGCTGAGAGGAGCACATATGCGGTCTCGAATCACGAGCGGTCCGATTCCGCTGGTCCAGCCAGAGAGATTGTCCGAAGTTGATTATCAAGGGCGTCAGCAAGAAGCCGCAGCGTCCAGTAACATGCGAGCGTCTCAGGTATGCCATATTGGTTTGGAGACATTCATGGAAGGCGTTGTCATTCGGCCACCTGGGTGTCCGATGGGCTTCGCGCCGTTCAACCGGCGGATACTGCAGGCCAGGACGGCCATGGTGATGTGGAAGCATAGTGTTGGTGAGGTATGGATATGCGGAAGCATGGCAACTTGGAAGCATGAACTATCAGTGAGACTGCCGAGGATGTTGAAGTCCGAGTCCGTAGGGGGGTAACTCTTGATGATCACGAAGATACCCATGGTCCAAGTCACATCCATCAACATGGGGAGGTTGTTGGGAGTGGGCTATGTCCGTGTGGGGTCGGGTCAGGGTGGGCCGGGTTGGATGGTAGATTAGCGATTTCCTGTCCAGGCTCAGTCCATATCCAGTGCAGACTCCGTCCATATCCAGTGCAAATCACGCTCAGATCGAGTCCAGGATCAGTCCATGCCCACATGGCCCCTGGGATAGTTGTGCATCCGCGGCGAAAGGAGCGTGATCTTTCAGCGGGCGGCCTGGCTTGGTATGGCTTGGCATGGCTTGGTATGGCTTGGTATGGCTTGGTTGGGTGTGGTAACAGAGGAGCTTGGCTGGGTGTGGTAACAGAGGAGCTTGGCTCGGAGTGGTGACAGAGCTTGGCCGGGTGTGATAGCAGAGCTTGGCACTGGCAGCAAGCGGAAACAGGTGAGGGCCTCGGGGTCACATTTCGTGGTGGAGTCAATGGGGTCGATGGGGTCGATGGGGTCAATGGAGTCAATGGAGTCGATGGAGTCAATGGAGTCAGTGGAGTCCATAGCGGGTGCATATATAAGGCTTTTGCCTTGGTGTCTCTGACGGGCCCTGGCACTGGATTGACACTGGGTTGTCGCTGAGCAATGGTACCGAGCGATGGAACTGAGCGATGGCATTGGTTGCTGGCCTTGCCAGCCAGGACATTCTACAGCCGTCGCTGCAGCCGTCGCTGCAGCCGTCACCGCAGCCGTCGCTGCAGCCGTCACCGCAGCCGTCACCGCGACTCTCGATCCCATGGGAGGGAACTCCAGCCCGCCAGAGAAACACTCTTCGGGCTTGAGCAGCCGATACCACCGGCATCGGTGCGGCCAGCCCCGCAAAGTGCCTGAGAAGGTGGCAAGCGAGACATCTTGGGTCGCGCCTGTGGCGAGCAAGGCATTCTGGGCAGGGCCAGTGGCGTGGCCGGTGGCGGGGCCAAGTGCCGAAGATTCGATGATGGAAACTGGGCGGGTTGGGACATGGGGCGAGCGGGTGAAGCGAATAGTCACGAGGTTTCGTGGTGTAGTTGGTTATCACGTGAGTCTAACACACTCAAGGTCTCCGGTTCGATCCCGGACGAAACCATTGTTTGGCTCCGCTAGCTCAGTTGGTTAGAGCGTGGTGCTAATAACGCCAAGGTCACAGGTTCGATCCCTGTGCGGAGCATTTTTGCTGCCCACTTCGCCTGGCCCCCGTCTCTGTCTTTTCTCCGTCCATTATTCACTTTGACTCTCATTCTCACTGCGTCTCACTGCGTCTCGCTGCACCCTACTGCATCCCATTGCGCCTACTCTCTGCTTGCTCGCTGCATCCTACTGCACCCCATTCCGCTCCCGCCTCTGTCGCACGGTCTGGTCTGGGGGGGAGGGCGGTGTTGGCAATGTGCTCGCACGGATCGTGGCTGCACACATGGATCCAAGTTTCGGGCGATGGCTCGGACGACGACGCTGCGGGGGCTCAGAGAGTCACTTGCAGAGTCACTTGCAGAGCCACTTGCAGAGTCGCTATGGCGGTGGCTGGCAAAGTCCAAGGAGGAGGGAAAAAAAATCGACAGATGGGAAACCCATGGCAAACTCATGGCAAACAGGAGGCATCGAGCGACGAGCATCAAAAACAGTGACGAGAGTGGGATTCGAACCCACGCCTCCGGAGAGATCACGGCCTTAACGTGACGCCTTAGACCAACTCGGCCATCTCGCCTTGTCTGCTCTTATCGCATCATCATATCTGACCACACATTCCTACCCTGCTAGCCATTCACTCCCTTCCGCACCCACCCCGCCGCCGCCAACACCTCACCCAGCCGCTGAACTCGCTGCCAACACTCACCCAACCACTCAATTCCCTGTCCCCCATCACCTATCGCCCATCGCCGCATCCCGATGCTGCAATCTTAGCAGGTCCTCTTCTCTCTGTGACATGTCCGACCGTGCATCTTCCCTGCCACCATGCCTCAAGGCTTTGCTGTACTTGATGATGATTCGTGGCCCAGGGAGGTCCAGGGAGGCCCAGGGAGGTCCAGGGAGGCCCAGGGAGGCCCAGGGAGGCCCAGGGTGGCCCAGGGTGGCCCCCGGCGGCCTTTCACGCAAATCTCCGAATCTCTCCCCAGGGAAATGAAAAGGAGAGCCTCGGGTTCTCATCGCGTTAGCTGGGAGATGGGACGCACCAGAAGTTCAAAAATGGATTCAAATACACCATCATTGATTCCCTTTCTCATGACTAGTGATCACCATGAATAATAAATTCTTGGCACGCATTCACACCTCACACCTCACACCCCACACCTCACACCTCACACCTCACACCTCACATACTTGCGAGAGCGCAGAGGATACACCTGTTGTGTGCGCACAGCACCGTGACAGAGAGCATGTTGGCGGATCGATGTTGTGTGGATGGAGGCACGGCTTTCGATGGACGCGAGGTTTCGGGTGGTGGCAGGGTGGTGGCAGGGTGGTGGCAGGGTGGTGGCAGGGTGGTGGCAGGGTGGTGGCAGGGTGGTGGCAGGGTGAATAGTGGCCGAGAACTACGGACGCTCGGTGAGGGACGATTTCATTTGGTTGGTTGATTCCCGGATTTGACGGGCACAGTCGTATCGGCGAATAAAGGCTCTGTTCAGCTTCGTGCAAGCGGTGCGGAACTGAAGTAGCGGCTCGCCACCTGACAGGACCTTTACGGTCAACCGGACAGAGGCGTCCGGAATAGAAAGGAGATAGCCAGCGATTTGGACAAGGCCGACAAGGCTGACAAGGCTAACAAAGCAGGTCCTCGATCACCACTTCGGCCGGCTCTTGAGCTTCGGGGACTCTGGGCTGGAGGCTCTGTGCTGGGCGGCCGCGTGGCCATTGCCTGTGCGTTTCTTGGACAGGAGTTGCTCAGTCAGTTCGGTTCAGTTCGGTTCAGTTCGGTACAGTTAGTTCCGTCTGATATGGGCCCTTGGAGGATCTGGAGGGTTGAGTGGCGCTGCTGTTGGTGCTCGTGGGGGTTTGGGAGACGAATGTTGGGTCGAGAGGCGTGGTTGTTGATGGAATTGGGTTCGGGTTGGATTGGGATAGTTTATAGTGGTAGCCGGCGGAAACAGCATCAACCAAGTGGTGGCAAATCACGGGGAATTAGCTCAGATGGTAGAGCGCTCGCTTAGCATGCGAGAGGCACGGGGATCGATACCCCGATTCTCCAATTATTTCGCCCGGCTAGCTCAATCGGTAGAGCGTGAGACTCTTAATCTCAAGGTTGTGGGTTCGACCCCCACGTTGGGCGTTCTTGTTTTCCCTTTTTTCCTCTGCCTCCCTTCCCCTTCTCGCCGTCCTGCCTCGGTACTCGCTCTGCGTTCGCTCCGTTCGCCCCGGAGTTGCCGTCCCTGCGTGGCCATCTTCCCCGAGTTTCTGCATATTTCCTTCCTCTCCAGATGTAATCTTTCTTTCCTTTTATCCTCCGTTTATTCCTTCTTTCTTTCCTTTTTGCCTTTTTTCTTCTGCGCTCACATCTGTGGCAGCACACTGGCCATCAAGGCTCGCGGTCCATAGTATCTCTCTCGCCTTTCGAGACAGACTGTCCACCCGCATCAACTCCCGTTCTGTGGATATTGTGGGTTTGCCCTTGTTTGTGGTTGTGGTTGTCGTTGTGGTTGTGGTTGTGGTTGTGGTTGTGGTTGTGGTTGTGGTTGTGGTTGTGGTTGTGGTTGTGGTTGTCGTTGTCGTAGTCGTTGTCGTTGTCGTTGTCGGTAGTTGGTAGTTGGTAGTTGGTGTTTGACGAGGGAGGTGCTCATGCCAACATCGCCACCAAGCGCGAGGGAAAACATAAAAATAAAAGTATATGGAAAACAATGACAACGGAACGAGCACCGAGGTTGTTACTGCCTGGGGGCGGACTGAACGAACACGGGAAGCAAAAGGGCAAGGAGGGGGCCACAGGGCCACAGGGCCAAGGGGAAACAAAACAGCACAAAAAATTTTGCCGCCTCCCGGGATCGAACCGGGTGCCTTAAGATCTTCAGTCTTACGCTCTCCCAGATGAGCTAAGGCGGCATTGTGGATGGGCTTCTCCGGGAATCGAACCCGGGACCACTCGCACCCTAAGCGAGTATGCTACCACTGTACCAAGAAGCCACACAGTCGTTGCTGTGACCGAGAATCACTCGCAACCCACCGACGCCGGCAGGACTCGAACCTGCGCAGGCGAAGCCTACTTGATTTCTAGTCAAGCTCCATAACCACTCGGACACGGCGTCGTTGTTTCGTGAGTATTTGGTAGTCATACACGAATCCAAATCGACGTCGCGCAACTCGCCTCTCCCGCTGCATGCAATCACCACCCGCAATCGCCACCCGCAATCGCCAGCAATCGCCACCCGCAATCGCCACCCACAACCCTCCCGTCAAACTCAATCCGTCCTCTTACAAGTTGCTCCATATATCTCTTGTGTTACAGCTATCAATCTGTCCTCGGCTGTCGCTTCGCCGCCCTCTTTCGCTGCTCTCGCTGTTTCATAGGCTGGCCATGCTGTGCGGACTTGTCGATGGCTTGTCCGGCCAGATATCGATTTGGCGTTGCTCCTCGTCCGAAATTCTGCCAACCAGCGCCGTCGCATTTAAAATGCATGCGTGTGTTCATGTCAGCGACAGCCCTCTGGCGAGGATCAAATGATTTCGAAGGCACTGGAGCATGCCATCGCCGATCATTCCATCCGGAGCCACCCAATGCCCTGGCATCATGGCCATGTTCTGCCTTTTCTTGGATGGGCCGTGTCGGACACCCGTTTTGGGCTGGTTCATGATCGGGATCCAGCCCCGAATACGCCTGGCCACGGCCGCTGTTCGGTCGACCGCTCAGCACATCATCTTCGCCGGCAGTGTTCGCAGCCACCTGCCAGGCTGTCCCGCGCTGGCCAACAACGACCCGGTGCCCGTTGCAGATGCACGGCTCTCCAGTCTGCCGCAGCAACGCTGTTATAAATCGCATCCCGCCCGACCACCGGACTCACGGCCTGCGCTCCTTCACATCCCCTCCCCACCACCACCGCTGCACTTCCATCGCCTCTATTCTTGCCTGGTTCTTGCATCATTTCTCGCCAGCCCCCCTTTGTATTCTTCCTCCAGGACTTGCCTCTGAATCGCAGCTATCCGCTGCCTGTTCTGCTCGCTTGATCACTCCCGCTTCGACTCTGTCATTTCTTGTATCCGCAACTGGCGATTTGCGGAGGCGACTGGCCAGCTATTGCGCCCTCCACCCTCCAGACCTTCCATCGCCAAACCCCCCTCGTCCTCGTCCACCCGCCACTGCTTTCCCTCCTTTGGCTGAGTTCCCGCTCTTTCCTCTCTCCCTCTCTGCTGGTTGTCCCCCATCCGTCGGCTTTCTCGCCATTGAAAGCCCGCCAGTAGATCCCTCCCTCCAACGAGGTCAGCACCTTCTTTCTTCGCGCCCTCGCCTCCATCCCGCGGCGTTCGTTGCCCGCCTCGCTGCCAAGAGCCGGTCTTTCCAGCCACCAAGCCTCTCTCTGCCGATCGCTTCCAGGATTGGTCTTGCTGGACCAGCTCCTCCCATCTGTGGCCCGGTATAGCTCGGCTGGATCCTGCCTCCTTGAGCCTCCACCTCAGCTTATTGTCGTCTCGCCCATACTACCCCGTCCTTCTACAATCCCGAATATTTGACCGCTGGCCCTCTTTTGTTCATTTGTGTTTTACCGATGCCAAAGCTGCTGAGCTGCCACACTCTATTTCGACGACTGCCGTAATCGCTGTCTGCCACTTGCATCGCTACGATCGCTCACCTCCAGCGGATTTTCACTCCTAAGCATCCCATCCCATCCCATCCCATCCCATCCCATCCCATCCCATCCCATCCAATCCCATAACCGTCGCAGACGCTCCCTCTCTTCACTTTCCCTTCGCAGCCTCGTGTACCCATGTCTCGTCTAAATCACACCCTTCGTGTCGACACTCAACGACCAGCCCTGTGTCGCTCCTACAACAGCCTCCAGTCACTGCGACCCATTGACTCTCCGCCACCGCAAGATGATCCATTTTCATCTAGACTCTCGCCGTCGTCAACTTTGGCCGACTCCAGCTTTCTCTCGTGCTCGTCCTCCTCAGCTTCGTCCGCACTGCATCCCGCCCCGTCGGCCTCGTTCAGCCCGCCATCCCCTCCAAGCCATCTCCGACCAACCTCCGACGGGAACCTTCGCGACGACGGCTTGTTGCATCCCGACATTCCAAGCATCCCCGCCTTACGCCCCCACACCGATCATGATCTGGCTTGCTCATCCTGTGAGCACGGCCATTTTTTGGTACTTGGATACACCGCGACGCTCTCGGCCCAGCGTCCTCTTGGCAGTATCGATCCTGGCAAGGTCCTTCTCAGAGCCGGCGGCTCCGAGATCTATGTATGCTCTGAAAAGACAACTCCTTCAGGCTATGAGCCGGCCCGTGGCGCCCGACCCCAGCCCTCAGGCCCTCAAGATGCATCCGAGGCCATCTCCTCGACACCCGACAAGGCTCATGATCGCTTAGGTTTGAGTCCCGATGCCATCGACAGGGTTTCCTCTGCGCCCCATGCCACGACCCATGCTCAGAATTCTTCGCAGCTCGCACCTAGTCTGGATGCCACTGGGCTCTGTCGACCGAATCGTCAGCCCGTTGCATATTCGTTTATGCGCTACCAGCTTGAATTCAACCACAAGGACAGATGGCTTCCCAAGCTGCTTAATCGTCTCCGTCATCACTGGCCTTCACTGCACTCTCTGCCGTCCTCCCAGACAATCGCCCGTCGACCCCCCAAGGGTGACGCCGATGCCGACGGTGATGGCGACGACGACTGCGTGGTTCTCGCCGAGGGAACCGAGCTCCGCCAATACGGCCGGGCCCGGGACCCCCGACGCAGTATGGCTGCATTCTCTCGGATCAGCATCGACATTTTGCCATCAGTGCACACCCACGGCAAGAAAGGCCGCCACGCCGACGAACTTGTAGAGGCACCCCACGGCCGTATGTTCAAGAGTAAGTTAAAGGGTATTCGATGCAGTGCTCTGGGTGATTGGCACGAATCCGAGCAGCCGGGCCGATGAGCGCCGACTTCAGGGCTTTGGTGGCAGTCATCAACGGCGATTTACTTTGAGATGCGTCCCATCCAAGCATCCTCTCCTTTTCCTGGTACCTTTTGGCTCCATACCCCGGATCAATGTTCCCCCTCTGTCTTCCCGTCTTGCCATGGATGCTTCAGGGATCTCGATCTCTATTATGCCGTGCTTCTGTTCACACTCGACCCCCCCCCCAGCTAACTTCGAGCCAAGGCTTGGTGCCCGACCGTGTTCATCTCCTCTGACCACTATCTCTCGACACTTCCCTCGAGTAGAGCCCTTCACTGTTTCTTCCAAGCACGATGAGCACCATCCCGACCGTTTGTCCTCGCGGAAACATATCTTGCGCCCTCTATCTAGGATTGCTTCTCCGTCCCATCAAGCCAACAAAGGGGCCAGAGACACAGACACACAACCCTCATTGACTTATCCACCGGAGACCTCGGCACCGCCTGCCTACCGAGCCAACTGGATCGCCATCAAGTCAACATCGTCCAACCGGGTCTATGTTGAATGCCTGCATCCCTCCCAGGATGGTTTCCTGGCACCCCCCAAGCATCGATCAAATGACACGGAGCCGAGCCCGCTGTTGCCCCCCCAGTCACACTGGGATTTGTGGCAATTCGGCTCGGAGCCGGGCCCTGGAATTGATTTTGTTATCCCTGGTGCATGTAAGCTTGAGTGACATGGGAACATGTGTGACCTGTGCGATGCTCGGTAGTATCCATGCGTCGACAGATTGTATGTGGGTGGCAACCACTTGCTCAAATATCTGGCATGTGCGATATGGGGATGTGCTCTACATCTTCGTCTTGGTGATCGATGGGCCGATATCTTTGTATTCAACCAGTCGAATCTGGATTCTGATCACTCCACTTTGCCCCTCCCAGTCGTTGTTGTTCGGGGTCGAGGTATCCAATCCGTGCAGTCGGCTGGCCATCCCTTGCCTTTTCATATCCTGACCCGGCGTGGTACGCCTGGAAGGGAGGCCCGTCTATTCTCGGGCTGTTTTGATTCAGGAGGCCGCCTCTATTTGGGCTCCAAATCCGAGCGCTGGGCTGTCTCAGGGCGTTCCAATCCATCACACTCGACCAAAGGGCATCCAAATCTCTCTGGGCGGCTCGCTGGCAATGAATCCCGTGATCCTCACGAAAACGAGCATACTGGCTCCTCGGATGCATCCGGAGACGGCGACGATGTGATCGGAATGGATGGATTTGCTGAAGTCCCATGCTATCACTTCAAGCCCAATCCACAAAGCTGCTGCGATCCCCCATCGAGCCAGAGCGTCCCGGTCCGACGTTCATTCTACACGCCTGCTGAGTCTCACGATCCCCAGCTACCACCTGGAAAGTGGTACAAGATATCGGTCAAGGGCAGTGCCTACGAGATTCGATCGCCAATCGATGGCGATGTCCTGCCGAATGCGACTCTGCGTCGTTCTCGTGTCCGACCCTCAAGGGCTTTGAGCCGTTTGTTCTCTTATCCGTCGCGAAGCAGCATTCTCTCACTCTCGCCAACAAATTCGGGGGAGATCGATCTGGAGTACACTCCCGGACATCCCCGCGCAGACATCGCTGAGACCGAGCCGCCGACCGCAGTTGGATCAGCCAGCCTCTCTAGTCATCTCGATTTCGCAGAAACCGACGAGCCCACAGGATATGCCCCTCCTAACCATGACGATTCTATTTATCGAATCCCTCGGTACCAAAGCCCCAACCTGGATCACGCCCAGGAGCAGCATGCAAGCCCATTGCAGGGCGATGATTCCGAGCCGCTCAATTATTTGGAGAACAATCCCTACATTGCCAGCGAAGAATCGCCGGACGGCAATCTACTTACGGACGGAAGCATTATCATCTGTGGTAGCCTGTCTCTGCTCTGGAGGTGCCCCGGCGGACACTGCTCACCAGCCGATCATAAGTACCGAACAGCCGACGCTGGGGGATATAGAAATACAGTCACTGGACGGCACACGAACGAACACGGTTGCTCTGAAGAGTCTCGGTCTTGTTCCGACCCTCCCTCAACTCTCGGCCGATCGACATTTGATCCACCTGGTGTAACCCAGCAGCATGGTTCTTCTCCAAATCACTCTCCAGACCCTGGCTTTGACACCTCGTCAAAATCCATGCACGACGCTGCGAATCCTCTCCAACCGGGTTTCGCCAGATATTTTCCGATTCCGATATCGCATTTTTACCCGCCTGCCGCATCACTCGACTCGCTTGAGGGATCCAAGCCGCAGCCATGGCCGACTCTGCGTAATGTACCGTCCTCTGCACCATCCGGAACCTCGTTTTCTAGTGGGTCCGAAGATAAACTTGACATGACCGCAAGGCTCCATGGCTGGCATGAAAAGTACACCTGCCCGGTGACTCTCGATGACATCAACGTCGAGCATCTTGATCGGTCCGTTTATAACCTCGACATGTACGATGCCGACAATGCCGAAAGCAAGCTCCTTCTCCGATGGTCTCGCCGCTTTGCTCGTGAAAACGTCTTCTCGAATCTGCGAACCAGATCTAGCCGCTTGTTACGCCTTTCTCCCCGCTCCAACGAAACGCTTCAAGTCTCGGACAAAGCGGACCCCACCGAGTCTTCCCGTACACCGATACAGCAGCATGATGCAACCCGTGGAATATATGGTGACTCTGCAGACGTCGAGCAGTACGATCACCGCGACTCGCCGGTCCCTTTTGATGGTCCGGCCGCTGGTCACGCACCGGATACTCAATCTCCTCGTGGTCAACTGTCAAGCAGACGCTCCAAGCGCGATATGCGATGGATCCGAGATATGGTCTGCAGCTCTCGTTTCGATGACGAGGCTGCCGGCGAAAGGCTCAAGTTGGGCAGACCGTGGGTGTTCATTAGCTGCGGGTAAGTTCTGTGTGACCAATTCCTCCATCAATCGCTGTAGAAATTTCCACGATGCACCCCCCCCCACATACACCGTGGCCGAGAGAGGACGCTGCTTAGCTCTAGGGATGCATCTGGGTTGCCCCTGTCGGATTCGCAATCGAGCTGGCCGACATGGTGTAGAATTGCCTCTCTGACTCAAAACTTTGTCGCTCTTACTACCTCAGGCACATCGTCTCGTACTTTTATGACAAGCTTGATGTTTTACCCACGGCATGTGTGGTTTGTCGGCGCGATTCGGACCTGCTTCCGCTCACCAGTCGCATCTGCCCTGAAATTACGACCAATGACTGGACCCATTGCCTAAATCCTTGCGGACACCTTTTGGATCAGCGCGCTGCAGAATATTGGGGCAAGCAGGTCTTATTCCCCATATGGAGCCAAAGGTTAGTAGATCCGCCTACATAGTCGAGTGTTGGTCGATTGGACAGTGTTCATTGAGTAATGCTGCATCGCGGGGCCGTGCTCTATAGCGGCTGTGTTTGTCGTCCGTGCTGCACGTGTGAATATCGGTGTGCAGAGCGTGTGAGTGTATGCATGGCTTGCACATTTGTGTCTGAGAGCATCCCCGTGTTGCTCACGATCTGTACCCGCTCTTGCATTTTCTCCAGACCAAACAAGAGTGAGTCCTTGCGTTGGGCCCACAAATGTCCTTTTTGTCAGGTTGAGATCCGTGATGTTGTCAAGATTTATGGGCAGAAGGATGACCTTTAACGGGCGACTGTCGGAGTGATACTGTTAGAGATGAGAGCGCGTGTCCTCAAAAACCGCGGGAATAATGTTTACAGTTTCATTCATCATTCGTTTGCGTGACTGGCATTGTTTGTCCTTGATTGCCTCCCACTACCACCCTACTTCACCCAACATATTTGCATCTCATCCGTCATTCGGCTATTAGCTTTCCGCAGCTGCTCTGTGTGGGATGCTCCTGTAATGAACATTATATTCTTAATGATCCCCGTTGGTTTCATGGACGAGCATTGTAGGCAAGGGAACACCACTACCACCATCACAGGAGTTCTTTGATCTGAGCAGTGAATCAGTTCGTGTGCGATTCCGGGTGATGGTACGATCCCGCAGCCAAACCCATCTATTCTGTTGTTCTGGTGCATGTTAGTATCGGTGGAGGACAGCAGCACGGTGAGTGTTGTAAAAGCAGAGCGAGTTGGATCAATGTGTGTGAAAGAAGAGGACACGAAGCGAGGAAGAGGAGACTGGACATGCAAAGGGAAGAGAGGGAGAGGCGAGGATGGAAAGTGGTCGGGAGGGAGACCAGGCAAAATGAAATGAGTTGACTACAGTCGGTCATTGGATGGCGAATCAGAGCCGTCTTCATCGTCGTCGTCGCTGTCATCGTCGCTGCTCGAGACTTCTCCTTTGCAATTCTGGAACTTGATGTTCAAATTCGCCACTGCTCAATTCATTGACCCACGTTCCAGCGTCCGTCGCGGTACCGCCGTGAGTGAGTCCCAACGATATAGAGTCAATCCCAGTCGGCGAATACAAAAGTCAAGCCAAAACAAGTTAATGTTAGAACGAGTAGAGATTGCACACTATAGAATCGAGGATAATGTGGCGCGCATCGTCTTGTATCCGCCATGGCTACAGTAGCTTTGCTTCAACGATCTAGATCGGCGTCTCCGGCGCATCATCATATTCGTTCCCTCATGCCAGCACAAGTGCATATCTCGTACCCAACATGGCATGATGGTCATTCGGGTCTATTGGGGTTTCTTTTCTCGTACTCCGAACAGTATCATTAGCCCTGGTTGTGTGGGGTGGTGAGTGGTGAGTGGTGAGTGGCTGCGGGTCCAACTCTGATCATCGTGCCATCGGCTCGATTGCGCCATTTGATCCGCCAGACAGACGTGTCGCACCGATTACATCCACTTACAAATCATGGCCAGTCTTTTTCAGCTTTACTGTTTTGATCTCCTTCATCAGCTGATCGACAATCATTCGCTGCTGGGACGGAGCATTGTTGGGACTTTTCTTCAATAGCCCCGAGGGGCCGCCCGAGAGATCCGACGGACTCTTGGCCGATAGATCTGATAAGGATCGCGATGCCGAGGAGAACAAAGGAGCAACTGGTGGTGGTGGAGGTGGTGGTGGTGGAGGAGGAGGTGGGGGTGGTGGCAGCGTGCCCGAGCCCATGCCAAAGCCCAATCCCGGGGATAGACTAAGGCCACTGGTAACCCGGCTGAGGGGTCGATACTGAAGTGACATGAGCTGTTCTAGGTTTGCGAGCTGCTTCATACTGTACTCGATCCGTTCTTCCAGTGACATGGACTCAACCTCGATCTCGGCGTTGGGCTGAACCTGGAGCTTTTCCTGGAACTCGGCCAATCGCTTTTCAAGTTCCTGGAGCCGCAAGATGGGATCGGTATGAGCCTGCGCCGAGCTGGAGGTCGGTGATGGCGGTGTTATTGACGGAGGTGGTATCGATGGTGGGGAGGCCGATGTGGACTTGGGCAACAGCTCTGTCCGGTCCATTCCCACTGTGAGCACCAAGGCAGGTGATTGCGCGACAGCAGCGGTATCGTTCCCAACCGAAATCGGGAAAGAGCATCCGTCGCCGGGATTTGATGGCGTTTTCAGGATGGGCAATTTTTGATAGGGTTTTGGTGATCCAGTAATGTCGCATATTAATTCGACGTCCACGAACGACGGCGGCAGGTTGTGAAATCGAAGGTGTTGATGGATACCGAGACAAAAAGAGGGACAAATCACGACCGTGAGCACGCAGTCGAAAGCGACTGGCCATGACTTGAATGCTACCATCTCTCGCTTTTTCGGAGCCTTATTTCGACTGTGGGTGGCGATGATGAGATAGACGTGCAACTTACGGTGGCTTCTCTGTGCAGATAGTGTTGTGGCGAGCAGATTAGCATTGGAGGCTTTTGAGATACCACTCGTTGAGTGACGAATCGGTGTCCTCTTGAGAGTTCTATGATGCACTTTTCGCGCCGGAGAGGGTGTCGTTTTCTTATGCAAGCCACTGTAGATATCCGAAAACTGAATGCGTCCGCCACATCAAACCGAGATGGTCAGCAGAGCGATTCAAGGGCAAGAGTTAGTGCGATGGACAGGGCAAAGGCAGAGACTGCGTGGCCCATTTTGAGACCAAGGAAGGGTGCTTCACTTGATGGACCAAGTCGAGCGTTAGATCCCCTGATACTTTGGGTCGCTGCCGCTCATGCGCAACAGTATCTATGGAGGCACCAAAATCGGATCGTTGTCGCCAAAGGGCCGAGAATATGCGCTATCATAACCGCCACATAATCGAGTCGTTGGAAACCTCTCTCTATCTCTCTCTCCATCAATATGCCCAGAGGCAATTTGAACAGTTACCTGGTCAGCAACGGACATGAAAGCTGATCCAAGGCGCGACAGAAGTGACGATGGTGCCAGGGTTTGTGCTGTTGAGGACGACGACGACGACGATAACGATGACGATGATCGAGGTGGCCTGTTTTCGACCTGTGATGGCGACGTTGTTGGTCGAGGAGACTGGTAGGGCTTTGGCGATGCACGAGCCAAACTCGAGTGAGTCCTCCCGACCGTGTGCGGCGACCGGAGAGGTGTAGGCGAATCGTTCGAGCTGTTTTGCCGATGGCGGTGGCGATTTGGGGTACCTTCGGACATGGTTGAGCAACTGAGGCAAAAGCGGGGCGGGTATGGAGTACAGTGGACGATACGAGGGAAGGAATGCCGGGACAGCAACTTGTGGGTGTGAATTTGTCAGTTGGCGAATGAAGGATCTGTCAAACTTGAGTCGGCCAGCGAGAAAGATGGGAGTAGGCAGGGAGGAACGTGCGGACTCTGGTTGAGGACCGACGAGGCTTGCGCTATTTGAGAGGCCAAAGGGGTCGGAAGCGAAGCGGCAACGGTACGGACGGAACGAGGCCCTGGATCGCACTTGAGCGCAACACGCGAGGGGAAGCAGGTTGTTGTTGTTAGCCGAGCACTCCAAGGCGTGGCGACAGGCTTATTCGGGCGAGGCAAGTGTCGGACGGGATGGTGCCAATATCGGTATTTTTCGTCGTGCTCTGAGATCGGTTGGAAAACGATTGCCGATGTAATCGAGTGGAACGGCAGGGCGTCGGCAGACAGCCCAGCCACGAGCCGATCGAGTCGACCCAAACGATGCTGGGACGCTGGGCCGGATATGCAGACGATGCGGTCCTATGACCGAAATTGAGCCCGATGAGAAACAGGTCCTGAAGGTTATTAGATTTTCCTATGGCTAAAGGCAGACGCTTGATCTGGGTTGTCTGCGAGACTGACGGTCGGAGAGGAACCCTGGAGCAGCGGCCTGGCGACGATGGCAGAGGGAATCCCGAATTCTTCCGAGGACTGAAGGCGAGACCGTCGTTGATCGGCCGCGAATGGACAGTGGCCCAGCGAGAGGATCGAGGAGAGAGCCAGCTGTCAGCACCGGAGTCTCTGACACGGCGAGACGACGGCACAAAATAGTAGGATCGTCGCCGTCATGGGCGGATGCTGCCCAAGATATCCCGTCGCCACAGCCCGTTGGTCGGGGGATGCCGCCTGGGTGTCGCGGAGCAAGATGAATCTTGCCTTTTTTGTCGTGGCAAAGGCTGTATTCCCATAACCGCATCCATCCCGATGTGGTCCCCTGCTTCGGCCCGCCATGATATCCACCAACCTAACGCACAGTAGGTGCACGGATGCCCGTCTACAGCGTATGCACTGACGCTTGGCTTGCCCGCAGCGATGTGCTCGCAGTCCTGGACCCGGGATCCTCGGGTCTGTTGTTCAATCGCTTCCTCGATCGACCAAAGCCTGTCGTGTTCAGGCCCTCAGACGATGCCCGATAACCGTACTCCTCCACCGACCATTTGCCCCGGCCCTTGACGACTGGAGCTGTCTCGTGGAAGCAGCTTTGTGGAAACCGTCCTGAACACAGCGAAGAGGAGCTTTGGCTCCGAGGATCTGCGTCTCCACTAAAGCAGCTCTTGTGGTAGAAGAACCTCATCTTGCGACCATCTCGGACCTAATGAGTACAGACGAAAACGTGGTGAAGAAGTGACGGAAGTGGCGGCCGATCCCTTCATGAGGAAACAGAGATTAATGGTATTCGTGTGACATACCTTGATTTCTTCGCCCTTTTGAATGACTCGTTTGCATTCGCGGCAGGACCACCCTGACTTGCCATCAAATGGGATGGATAAGTATCGTGGAGCCACATTGACCGCCTCCCCCAACAGGCCAGTCTTGAGAGGCTCTGACCGCATACCAGTTCGGATGGCGACACCCTCGCTGATGGTCCAGTACTCCATTTTTTTGTTAAAGTCGTTGCCAAAGTGTTGCTGCGAGACTCAACCCGACCATCCGGTCGGTCGGCATTCCGGCAATCGACTCAAGGCGCCGGGGCCGATTTGGACTTCGATTGGATGTTCGCCCGATCACATATGCACTCGAAGCCCCAACACATCTCTCCCAGAAAGTTGCAGTCGCGTATTGCAATGAACGGGGCACCTCAAGCTTTTGAACATTGACCAAATGTTTTGTCATCCAAGACCAATACTTGCTGGCCATGGCCATTCTGTGATTTGAATCAAGGACACCAATGTGGGCATTTGGTCTGCAGGAATGGATGAGCACCACGCCATGTCCCAAGATCCCGGGGTGGCTTCCTTCCTGCAATATATTCGCCATGTGTTCAATGGAGAGATGCTGGACAAACAGCTGTACTTCAGCCTGACCCGGCGACGGCGATTCAAGCAACTCAATCTCCAGATGTGCTCACAGTGCCGGGAAGCCAAGCGACTCGAGAACGCAAAGTATCTTGATATCGAGTTAGTATGGAACTGTCCAGAGGGTCGAGTGTATCCTTCCCACTCCCACATCGAGTGGATGCACCACACTCCCACATCGAGTGGATGCGCCACACTCACGCATCGACACATGAGATCGACCGAGTGTATCCAAGACCATGCCTCCCAAATCAACAGGAGAGACTCGGTCGCAACCAAGGTGAGAGGCAATAGTGTGGTTGGTCCCTGCAGCCGCAAATCGCCAGGCTTCAGATCGCTGATTGCATTGATTGTACTGATTGCACTGCTGTTACAGTCACAACCCCATACGATTATAGAACGTCGTTTGGAGAAGACTCTGCATCACTGCGTTGTCTCCACAATCGACTTGCACACATTGGCCATACTGTGCGCTGCCGTGATGCCACTTTTGAGATACTGTTGGCAGCTTGTGTGTGGACAGCTCCCTATAGTCGATGACCATCGCGGATGATGGATGATTGCAGATTCCCTCAGAAACAACAGAGCGTCTCGTTTTAGTCTGTGAATATTGTATTAGTGCACATGGGCGACTCGCCATCACTCTGTCAGGATGGATGACGGAGGGATATATGGCCAGAGATGTCGATCATGAGGTGATATAGGGCCGTGCGCTGTCGCAATATGAGGTGCCATGGTGTGGCTACATGGGATGGGATGGGAATACAGTTATATCGGCCAACGACAGAGAATGTCCGTGGGTATGAGAGGGAGCAAGACTGGCAATCTGCCAAGACTGGCAAGATAACATGAGGCTCAGGGTGGTTATGAGGACCAATACTGGTCGGCGTCGGCCAGAGTCTCCTTCGATATATCAGCATCCGACGTGGTCGGGCCGAGTTGGCCCTTCTCCAGATCGACAGCAGTGTCCTTGGTGTCCCTGGCGGCTGGTATCGAGGCCGAGCTGGTCGTGGCCGGAATCACCACGATCTTGGGCGGCGCTGTGGTTGTCGAAGGTTTGAGCGGATCGACGGAGACCATCGCTGGCCGACTGGCTGCGAGGCCCTCTGGTGCAGGAGCAGCTCTCTGCTTTCCAGCAATCCTGGCGGCCTTGGCTGCTGCACAGGCCTTTCGCCACTTTTTGAATTCATCCACGCAGGGACCGATGATCACGACCTGGATGATGATCAGAACAAACGGCAGGGCCACCAATCCGGCAATCCCGAGGCAGACCCATCCGACTGCATTTCATCGGAGCGAGGATCGCAACACCGACGAGAGAGAAGGGCGGAGCAGTGTGAGACATAGCCTTCGGGTCGATATCGGCGCATTCAGGAGTTGTTGCCTGTTGGTCGTTCGATTGACAGTCCCATGGTGCAATCCAATTGCCCATCAGCCGGGTCATGGAACTCTCACTCACGCTACTTACAAATGATGGCGCCTTGCGAGGGTGGATCGGAGCTTGAGGACGAGGGCGAGGAGCCACCAATGATGACGACCGAACCACCAGAACCACTGGAGCCGCTGGAGCCACCTCGGCTTCCACCGCTGCTGCCACCACCACCTCGGCCACCACCACCGCTGCTGCCACCACCACCCTTGCGTTTGTAGAGAAAGTGGTGGTCCTCGGCAGCGGGCTCGGCAGCGGGCTCGGCAGCGGGCAAGGCGAGGGGCTCTGCATGGAGATCGGCCTGAGGGACGCTGGCTGGGTCGACGAGGAACTTGATGTACATTGTGGCCCGATGGAGGTTGATGGATGTGAATCGCCGGGCAAGCGGGTGAGAGTTGCTGGAGAGTGGTGGGCGAGCCACTTGGGTTGGCTGGTGCAGATGGATGTTGGAAGTGAGCGGAACTGAACAGAACTGGACTGGGCTGATGCGGCTCGGCGAGGGGCAGCGACCAGGGCTTTATATGCTGCTGGTGCAGTGATCTCGATCAGATCTCGATCAGATCAAGTGGCAGGCAGGGATGATACCGTTCCCAGGTGGCGTGGTGGCGATGCCAGCCACAGCACAGCCACAGCAGTGTTGTGTAGATCGGCCCACACAGGGTTTGATACCGTCCAGGAGTGGGTTGAATCGCCCTCGCTGCTGGTTGGCCGATATTCGGTCTTTATGCGGTTCACCCGCAGTGATACCTCAGCGCATGTCTCGGTGACTGCGGCTGCCATCGAGACCACCAGCATCCAGCGCTGCACTCTGGTCGTCGCTGATACAATCCGATCCTGGCATGCCAGAGTCCAATCCATCAGCTACATCGGTTAGTGTGCTCGCCGGATCTCGGCTGTGCCCGGCATGAAGCAGCCAGGCATGAGTACTGCGGGTCTCGAGGTGGTGGTGGTGGGCGAGCAATGGAGTCCCGTCCCTCTTGCCATCTGAATCCAGATTTGCCAGCCCCCCAGGCATCTTGTGGTGTGGCTTGGATGTTGGTCGATGACTGTGCCCCTGCCGTGTTCGCCTCGCTGTTCCTCCCTTTCTCCTCATCGTCTCTGGCCCATCCATCCTTGGCTGATATCACACTCAACTGCCGTCTCGCCGTTCCTCCGCTTCCCACCCAACCCACACATCGTGTATCATGGCTGCCAGTGTCCACCCCTCAACCGACATGTCTCATCTTGCCATCGACGACCACAACCCAGATATCTTCACAATCGTCTGTTGCAACGAGGCCTTCCAGCCTGCCCTCGACCACAGCACCATCAAGACCCTCCTCCGAGTGTGCAAACGAGCCCGTCCTCTCCTGAGCTTCAAGGTGCCTCGCTTCAACACCTGGTGCCAGAATGCAGGACTGTGCCATCCAGACGGACAACTGATCATCGGCCTCACACCCAGTGACCGAATCGCCCTCTCCATGCACTGTGAGAATCAAGACACAGCAGACCGATCCTGGCTCGTTGCTCAGGCAGAGCATGGCAATGCTGCCGCATCATATTTCCTGGCAAGGATCCTCCAAGTCGATCTCTCTAGCGGGCGGTTTGAGAGAGCGTCCGAATGGAAGCCTATCCAGAAGGAAATCTTCTGTCAGCTGGAGAAGGGCGCCGAAGCCGATCATTTTATGGCTCAGTTCCATCTGGCTGGATGTTATCACGATGGCGCTGGTGTCGATCAAGACCACACCAAGGCTGTCGAGCTGTACCGCAGTCTTGTCGATCGTGGGATACCTCAGGCTCAAATCGCTCTCGGAAGTTGCTACGAAGATGGTGAAGGTGTCGATCAAGATTACGACGCAGCCATTGAGTGGTATTCCAAGGCAGCTGATCAAGGCAGCGACGATGGTCGACTCCACATCGTGTTCCTTCATGGATGGCTCTCGTTCATCGGCCACGGCGTCGAACAGAGCGACGAAGTTGCCCTCGCTCACTGGCAGGAGGTCAGCACCCAATCCACCGATCCAGTCATCAACCCCATCTCCACTCACATGGTCGGCTGGATGCACTACCTTGGCCGGGGTACCCAGCTGGACAAACAGAAGGGCATCAGGATAATCCGGGAGAACAAGCCACACCAGCTCGATCTTGGGGAGGGTGAATGTCTGGCAGTGTGGTTGGACAACTTTCATCCTCCCCAGCCCGTAGCCCGCAAGCTCTTCAATCTCTGCCAACTGGGATCGAATCAAGACTGGCTGTGTAGACATCTCAAGGCTGTGTGTTGGTTCTATGGATTCGGAACCACCTACGATCGCAAGAAGGCTGCAGGCATCTTTGAGCAGCTCGCCGACGAAGGTCACAGCGACAGCCAGTTTTGGGTCGGACAATGCTACTTGGATGGCCATGGAGTATGGGAGGACCACAAGAAATCATTCGAATGGTACAGCAAATCGGCCGACCAAGGCAACTCTTATGGGCAGTGGCGGGTTGGAGTGTCCTACTACTGGGGATATGGAGTCACCGAAGACCACACAAAAGCAGTCGAGTGGTATCGCAAGTCGATCGAGCAAGGCAATCGGTATGGACAATATTCTCTCGGCGGGTGTTACAAGAATGGACATGGTGTACCAGCGGACATTGACGCCGCCGTCTTCTGGTACCGCAAGTCCGCCGACCAAGGCCACCTTGGGGCAATCTACAAACTCAAGGACCTCGGCAAGTGGCCCTGATCCCCGGAACCCTGCCGAGCTCTACTCCCAAACAACCAATTCGTAACACATAATATGATACCAAAATAGCCGAGCAGACCGCGTTGCCAACACTCGTCCCAGATATATCGATACCAAAAATCGGTTGGCGGTGCTCTCCCGATGAAGCAACAATGGCCGAGTATAGTTGCCTTTGACCTTCAATACATCTCATAATTATCACATTGCTGTCTCAAAACTATCGCCGGTGCTGATCGACCGAACGAAGGAACTGACTGGACCTGAAGAACGTAGTTGGCTACTACGAGCTGGATGGCATGAGAATGCTCAACTGGTACGACCCGGATGTCCATCTCCTGTGGCGAACACTCCGAAGGGTGTTCAAGACGCTGATCATTACTTACCTCCTTCCCCATGTACTGCTCGGGCCGGCCAGGCCTTGATAGCTTTCGATTGAAATAGAAAGATGAGTCCAATGGCGATGAGGTGCTCACCTGCCGTTGCCGGTACTGCATCGGCAAGGCTTTGCTCCGAGAGCATCCAAACCATCGCGCTGCCCCGTGCTCAGAATGGCGGACGAGACACTGAATCACATTCGGCACCAGAGGCATCGCTCTGTCTTGCAGAATCGGCACAGACGACCGAGGCAACGTCAGCTTTCACATCTCCACAAGTACTGCGGCCAATGTATTCATGATTTGCAGAACATAACCATATTGGAATGTCGAGGCCGCAACAAACAGAACCCCTGGGTTGATAATGGATGACTTTCTCTTGGCCACAGATCCGATAGATTGTCGAGAAATGTAGCCGACATTATGACTGTGATTAGACGAGGACAAAGACATGATGGCAAGGACAGCAAAATTTTGGGTATGATGCACTCAAATCATCCGGCACAAACTTGAAGGCCTCAGTGAGCCGGTGAAAGCCCCTCTACTTTGTCGGCCAGGAGCTCATTGTCATGGCTACCCGAGCGATCATATTGAGTGCGTGAAGGGCCCCTTCTCCTTTGATATGCTGCTGACGGCCAGTGTCTGTACTGGTCCTCTGTGGCCCGCCTGATGATACTCCTCTTGACTTTTGAAGACACTTGAGATTCGGAGAGTACAGCCCCCTGCTACTTCGGATCTATCCGATTGGGCTTCACCCTTCATGGGTACTACATCCTCAGCTAGTCGGCGGAAATCTGAGCCATACAAAAGACTGGATAGATATGGCAGAAAAGCCGGTGGTGAAGGGCCTGCGTGTGTCTGAACGAAAGCGTAATGCTCATTCTTTGACCGCCGAATGATTACAATGGTAGTTCCAAATGCCGTCCAGGCGGTATCCGTGCGGCCCGAGATCGAGAGGCGCGTTGTCGATCAAAGTTGCGTGGATTCAAGATGTTGGTTGAATTTAACAGCGACCACAGACCATTTCAGTTGCCAGGCACCACATTCGATAATAAAGAGTCAGTTTCTGCGAGGCATCCTCCCCTCCATCGCGGACTGTGACCTCACAACTTGTTCAGGAGCCGTTCGAAAGGAAGGACGATATCTACTTCTCGGCACGGCTTACATTTGAATCGATATAGGTCAGTACTCCATTGTATATGTCAGCCAAATCCAAGAGTCGATATTGCCCCATCACCTGGCTGTTCTCCGGGCATGCCATTTTTGTATATTCACTCGACACCCTGGCGACCTCACTTGAATGCTCAGAAAGGCTCATAACTTTGTGGGCTTGCTATAGACGGCGCTCTACCCGATACGTTCGAAAGCGTGTCACTTCAAAAGGGTTTGATAGAGATCGCTTTGATTTGGTCTATAACAATGACGGAGCGAGCGGCGCTCAGGACCGCCACTCGTGCTGGTAGCTCAATGGTACCGAGCCCTTCGAGAGCCCAAGCATCCCGCGTCATGGCGTCTTTCCCCGCCTCTGGAACCCACCTCCTCAAGTCGGCTCGTCCGAGCTGCGGTGTGTCTCACCTCTGGGAACAGAGGCTTGGAAGTCAACCAGTCCGTCGACAAACCCTGGCTGGACGCGTTCGACTGCCGCTCGGTCGATTCAGCCAATTTGCCGATAGAAAGCTCAGAAGGGGCACGGAACTCGGCGTCCGGGTTGGTGGGTGAAATCAAGAGATGGGTTTTGTCCAGACGGCCTCGACAGCGCGAAATACGGGTCTGGAGTCAAAATGGATAGGGTCGCATATGCGGATCGCGATGGCGAACAAAGTGCGATGGGAGGGCGAGGAGGCTGAAGCAGAGTCGAGGAAATGATGTCGACATGGGGGTGTGAACTGCTGCTGGCCTGTCGACACAGTGCCGTTGATTGCATGCAGTGTCTTCGAGGAGGTCGGCTGGACAACGGGAGACCCAGGCCGGTCTCCTGAATCTTGAATCTCGTAGGCTCAATCCAGCAGCACTGGCCCGACCTGGCGATGGGCGAGTGAGGTGAGCAGCCGTCGCCGGGCGGTCATGCCTCGACCCTGCGTCTGCCGAGTAGCTCCAAATATGCCGAGGCTGCGGACTATCCCAACATCGACCCGGCGGCCCGATGGAAGCCCAGGCGGCGGGGCCATCCCCATTTCGGCGGCCGGCATGAAATACGGAGCCGACTTTGGCTTTGCTGAACATCGACGTCTGCGTCTCGATCACCGCGACCTCCACAGCTCGGAGCGGCGATGCAATCGTCGAGCTGCCGCTGCGACCAGGGCAGCATAGCTCGGCGTTGACCGAGTCTGGTGTGTTGGGTCCGTCCTCGGCGAGCTGCTGCGGAACTGGCTTCTCTGTGGTCACCCATCCCCTCAAATGCCAGCACCGCACCCGCCGATTCGCCCGCTCTGCCTCTTCCACAGTCCGCAATCCGCCATCCAGTCCCTCCCACCTACCCGCGATGAGCACCCCTCGAGGCCATCGACCAAAGACCGTCATTCGTGCTGTCAAGCGGGTAAGCTCAACATCGATCATGTCCTCTGGGCGATCCTTTCTCCAGCGGCAAAAACCATATCTTCGGATTTCGAGCAGAGTCGGGGAATCTTGTCGGGACAGCGTCGTAGGATCCAGCGGGCAGAGCTTGCATCTCTGTCTCTGCCAACTCGATTGGGCCATCATATCCGCTGTATACGAGCCACTTTCTATCACAACTGACCCAAGTCACTGTCGCTCTGTGGCGCTGTGTGTTGACAACTGGTGATCATAGAGCCGCCACGACTACAACGAGCTATGGCCGAAAATCGCAAATGCCATCATGGAGATATACCGCCAGAATGCTGGGATGCTGAGTTTTGAGGAGCTGTACCGGTACGCATCCGCGAGCCCAGTGGACGAGCCCGTCCGCTTGGTCGTCGACTCTTTCCAATCGTATCTTCTCCGCGCATGATCGTTTCGTCCATCCTCAGCACGGATGGGGTCTATCGGCCCATCAGCAAAGTCGAGGGTCTGTCTTCTCACCCAAGGATCATCTTTCCTGTCCATTTTCATCAATTGTGATGGTTCCATGGCTGGATGCGGCTACGATCAACGGCGTCAGAACGGCATACAACCTGGTGATCAGCAAGAACGGAACCCAGCTCTATAACGATGTCCGCAAGGCTATATCGAATCATCTGGATAACGTTGTACAAGTAGAGCTGGTTCCAAGCCTCTCGTCGACCTCGGACAGTACCGGAGGAAAGCCGTTCCTCAATGATCTGGATCGATCCTGGGAAACTCACATCGTCCAATCCGGGATGATCGGGGATATCCTGCTGTATCTCGTGAGTTCTGACCGCATCCATCGAACGGCCCTGAAGAGCCTCTATTTTCATTATATACCTCCTCCGTCGAGTGCTGAGGATCTATCTTGCGACACGTATCGCTCCTCTGCAAGGGAGGGGATCTGAATGCCAATGAGCTGATACGATTATAGATCTCAGCTCATCACTACCGGCCTCCTTGACACTAATCGCAGCATATCGGAATGTCTGTTCCAGGATACACAACACTTGAAGCCCCTTGGAGAAACCCTCATATACGACATGGCCTTGAACTTATATCGTGATGTTGTTATCCACTCGAGCTTACACAAGCCCCTCATCAAACTGCTGCTGGATCTGATCCATCGCGAAAGAAATGGGGAGAGTGTGGATCGACTCATGCTCAAGTCAACACTGCGAATGCTCACGGGATTGACAAGTGGCCCAAGTGAGTTACCCCTTCCCCCATCTACTTTGGAGCACTTCCACACTGGAACACAGTTAACAGATCGTGCTCGGTTTGATCGCTCGACTCGAGGATATCTTGAATACTGCAAGACAATCGGGGGACTTGATCAGGAGCCTTTCTTCACACCGAGACGTCTGCTCTAACACCGCTGCACCTGCTGGGGTATGGGGTGTCAGATTCACGATATACTATCTACGATACCGACTTTGAGCCACGATTTCTCGAAGAAAGCCAGGCTTTTTACGAGACGGAAAGCGAGGTATTTCTCCGTGAATGCGATGCCGTCCAGTACTTGATCAAGGTACGTTGTATGATCTACTTGAATACCAAGCGTATGTGGGGAACTTGACACCGGCACTTGATTAAAAATTTGAATCGGTTGAATGGTGAATGGTGAATGGTGAATGGCTGAGTGTAGGCACCAGAATTCGACCCTTGCAACGGATAGTCGTGAATCTTCTCTAATTCACTGACATTTGGTGTTCGGCCATTCCATAAAGGTTGAAAAGCGACTCCAGGATGAAGAACAGCGCGTAACGGGATACATGAACAGAGAGACTGAGCCTAAAATCAGGGCCATACTGGAAGATAAACTAATCAAAACAAACATGAAAACGCTGATTTATGTGAGCTTACCTTACCGGCATGTGGTTGACATGCCATACTTCCCAAGGCTGTGCGCTTGTATCACTTGATGGCTATGACTCACCAATAGACCTCCGTCCCGGCTCGACGAATCTGCCGCGGTGGATCGACACGATACTCAACATGATACTCGACACCGCCGCCGAAATTGCATATGGAATCTGCTGAACATCTCGCCCCATGCCGTCACCGTACTTTACGGAACCACGCCGATTCCCGTAACAACGCAACTCTTTGGATACCTGCCCCACGATGCCGCAGATGGAAAACTCCGGACTCGTCAAGATGCTTGAAAATGGACACGTCGACGACCTCCAACGAATGTACAGCCTGCTTGGCCGAACTGAAGATGGCCATACCGAAATGAAGGCCGTGATTTCAGGGTATATCGAATCCTGTGGCGTCAGTATCAATGAACCATGGGTCCAAAGTCAAGAGTTGCGAGGTCCTGGGAAGGGCGAAGCCATTAATACGCCCGCGGCCGCAATTCAATGGGTCGAAGCGATCATCGAAGCCAAAACAAAGATGTATCGTATTTTGGATCATGCGTTTTCAAGCGACAAGTCTTTCCGGGCAGACATCGACGCTGCCCTCGCTGTAGTCGTTAACCAGAATTCGAAGTGCCCTGAGTGCGTCTGCCTCTTTATTGATGACAATTTGAGAAAAGGAATCAAAGGGGTGAGCTTGTACATTCGTTTATAGTTTGAAGCTTGGGTGATATGAGTGGGCCTCTCATTCAAAGTGCTCAGATAGCGAGCTGCGATCGAGGAATCAGGATACTCGCTGACATTAATACTCTCATCCACAGAAGTCTGATACCGAAATCGACATTTTGTTGGACAAAGCTATTGAGGTCTTTCGGTTCATTCAAGAGAAGGATATTTTTGAGCGCTATTTCAAACAGCACCTGGCCAAACGTCTTCTACTTGGCACAAGCGTTAGCGAGGATGCTGAAAAGAGTATCCTTTCGAAACTGAAGGTGCGGCTAAAATCCGCCGTAGCAGGACAGTAGGATTGGTCAAATATTAAGGAGACATACAAACGTGCTTCCTAACCAGCGGTCCACAGACTGACACCCGATGTTGCGACACAATTTCCTCCGTATTATTAGATCGAATGTGGAGTTCAGTTCACAAACAAGCTTGAGGGCATGTTCAACGACATGCGAGTGTCGGATGAGATTACCGCCGACTTTGACGATCGGGTTTCGAATCAGCACTCGGGCACCCCAGGATTATCTATCAAGGTTCTCACAGCAACGTACTGGCCAGTAACGTCAAACTTGCAAGCCGTTCACTATCCCCAGGAGCTCGTGAGCAACATGATCCAATTCGAGAAGTACTACTTTTCACGCCACTCCGGTCGCAAGTTGACATGGCTGCCGCATCTTGGCGATTGCGATATCCGAGCCTACTTTGAAAAGGGCACCCGTCTCTTGAACGTTTCGACTCTTGCTGCAATCACTCTCCTCTCCCTGGCCAACGCACCCGAAGGGAGCCAGGAGGTCGAGTACTCTGATATCCAGACCCAGACAGGCATATCCGATAGCGAGCTCAAACGCACACTTCAATCGCTCTCCCTTGGCAAATACAAAATACTTCTCAAGTCCACGAAGGGTCGGGATATAGCCCCTACCGATCGATTCCAGATCAACACGGAGTTTTCTTCGCCCCTTCAAAAGATCAAAATCAAAACCATATCCAGCTCGACTTCTGATGGCGCTTTGGCCTCAAAGTCAGGCAACCAACTCGAGTCGAGCAAAGAGAGAGCCGAAACGATGGAAAAGATCGAGGAAGAACGGCGGCACATAGTGGAAGCGGCCGTTGTTCGGATCATGAAATCGAGAAAGCAGCTCGACCATACTAATCTGTGTTCAGAAGTGCTGTCGCAACTCAAGTCCAAGTTCCAGCCGAATCCGACTATCGTGAAGAAGCGCATCGAGGGACTGATCGAACGCGAGTACCTTAGGCGCGACGAGGTCAATAGGTATGGCGATCATTTCATATTGCACCCCGATAATATGCTGTGCTGTGGCAGGGGGGGGGGTAGAGTATTTTAGAGAACGAGCTCGATAGATGCGCCCAGCGTTATGGATCGAATCAAGCTTGCCGCTTTGAGTCCGATCCAGCGGACTCTTAAAGGAGACTAGGGAGGCCATCGACCCTATATTGCATTGCACTGCTGCTGATCTGGCTACACTGCCACTGCACGTCGCACCCTTCGTTCGTCGAGCTGGTGCTGTACGCTATGCTCTCTATCTTTCTACGCGCGCCATCGAGACTATGTACGCGGTTACTGAACACTCACTGATCTCGTACTGGAACTCCAGAAACATTTACCACTATATTGCCTGAAGCAAGAATAGCGCAAGCCACCGGTTGTATATCGCTCGAGCTCTCCTCGTGGAACAAGGCCGATGGCTGCATGAGGGATATGATCCGGGGCCAGCAGTCATACTACACGAGCGATGCATGCGCTTTCATCTTTGGCTGCATGATGAGCTATTCGAGTTTCCGTGTGGTCACCTGGAGGATTCGAAAAAAGGACACGAAGGCCCTCGAGCTTGAGGTCGACCATCACTTTGTTCCTCACCATGTCGACGCTCCTCAACGATCCACGGCATACGCTCGGCCTCGTGCTGCTGTGATACAATGCAATATTTTACTCATGGCATACGCACGACTTACAAGAGATTCAGTACAGCGCTAATCTTGATTGTGGCCTGTAGCAACTTTGTGGCGGTCGCTGAGCTTGGGAAGCAATAGATGGCGATGTTCTGACAAGTGTGGAAAATGGAGACCGTATTTGTGCAAACTGCGACTTTGGCTAAAGCATCACGGAGTGGAGAGCCGTGAATTGAGGTCGCTTTGGGCAGGGTTGCCTTTGAGCATCAGACGGGTGTGCGTCCTTGTAAGGCACAACAGAAGGCCAATGTCGTTGGAGCAAGGCCTTTGGTTTCGATTGGTCTCTATACATTGAGCAGAAGGAGCGATTTGACTTGTGCAAGGCCATCCGCGATCGAGGCATCGCTTGATTCGAAGCCCTCGAATACACGTCGGAGAATCGAGATTTCAACATGATTCAAGTCCGCAAACCTGCTAACGATATAGTGGCAAACGCCTCTCCACAACTCGGTCTGAGCTATGTGCGCTTGATGGAAAGCACGAACGACCACAGCAAACTCCGAGGGCTTGAACTCGTCAAGCCTCAATTGAGCTTGAGTGGCCAAGGATGAATACAAAGGACCAGAGGAGATCCCAAGAATTGAAAAAGCATAGGTGATTTGAGCAATTTGAATTGGATCAAACCTGCGCTCGTGACAGAGGGCAGTTTGCGCAACCCGGTCCATGAGTTGTTGGTCTCGGAGACGGACTTTGCCGAGAGCATGTGCCAACACAGCAAGTTCTACATTCGAAAACGCTGCGAGTTTTTCGATCGTGCAGGCCGATACAAGAGCGCTAAAGAACTCTGAAAACGCTTCGGGATGCTTTGAGAGGGCGTTTGCCGTCAGTGAGATATTTTGAGGACTCATGTCTGGTGCTCGGGGACAAACTGCTCGTACTAAATCGTCAATGACTTCGGGTCTGTCTGGAGGTAGGTGTAGCGAATAGAATTGAATGAGCCGAACCAAACCCGGCTCGGGCATGGACGATATTAACGGACAAAGCAAATCTGTGGCTCGCTGCAGCAATGGTGATGGCAGACTTGGGACGTTTCGGAGGGAGTGCAGTAAAATCACGAGCTTGGCGGGAGGAAAGTTGTCGATGGCTCTGGAATCGAGGGCAGCAGCCGACTTGGCGGGCGTCACCTTTAATTGCATGCATCCTGAGAAGAAATCCACGAGAGCGGATACCGAGAGCGAGTTACAGTCATCGGAAACAATGGAGTCGGCCAGGCGGGCGAGGTTTTGAGCTGGATAGCGATTGTTGCCAAATACTTGGATCACCGAGCACAAATCCGAGGGGCTAAGCACATGGTGGACAGTCGTTACACGGTTGACGAGGGAGAGACGTGTGGGCAAATCTACAGTCGAGACTCGATCGAGGGCCTTGACCAATCGAACGGTATCACTTGGTTTGGTCTTTGGTAGTCGAAGCGATACGATAGACAGACATTCGTTCATAACGTGCGGCGGATAGGAGCCGTGGATCTTGCAGACTTCGATAAAACGAGCCAGAGCCGGCCCATCGAGATGGGGAAGGCCCTTTTGCATCAGGATATAAAACTCGGTCAAACAGTTCACAGGGCGGTAGTTTAGCGCTGCGAAATTATGAAAAATGGCAACGAGGGCTTTGAGTTCGGCAACGTTTCCAGATCCTGAGCTGATTTGAACAAGCTTTCTGAGACGAGAAAGGGAGGAAGCTGCGACGGCATCGAAAAGCGGTGGGTATCTGAATTTGGCAGATACAAACGAAGAAAGCAATTGCTGGTGTTGATGCATCGTTAGGGTTCCCACTCTTCTTTCAAATTCCTCGGCAGTTTTCTGGTAAAACTGAGGACGGAAGAGTCCCAAGAGCCCCAAGCTATTCACCATGTTCATAAGCACGTGTGAATTGCATTGCGTGAGATTGTTGAGGATATACTCTTCGGCCACTGATATGAACTCTGGAGAGCTATGGCGTAAAGAGGCGAGTGAATTCGTGAGCATGGAGAGCTCCAAAGGCTTGAACTTTGATATCAGGGACGTGGCGCTATGCGTAATCGCATCCAGAAGCACTGTTTGCGTATTCTTGGTTATGGATAGGGCATTAGCCATTGTGGCCAAACTCTGAGGAGAAAAGGTAGAAATGCTTTGAAGGGACTGTTGGGTAAGGGCTTCAAAGAGCTGATGATCGTAAGTGTTCAAGTGTGCATACGAATAGGCGATTAGTGATAGCTGGTGATGGTTGAGGAGATGCGTCTGGATGATAATCTGAGGGATCAAGGCCTTGAGAACTGAGCCAGGGAAGATTGAGAGTGATCCTGACTCGTGTGCTATCGGAAGGTGTCCATCCAGTACCGAGGGCTGCAATAGCTCCGATACCACTCGACGTTTAACATCTTTCAAGCGATCGGCGATCGGGACAGAATCCTGAAAGTCGATATTCGTCACTATGGGGCCATAGTTGTGTTTGGTGAATGAATGGACGATCAATGCAATCTGCTTGCCGTTGAAGGCGGAGCCTCGAGCGTGGGTGGACTCGGCGATTGCGACGAATAGCTCTGGGACTGGGTCAACCAGCTTTGAAAATGCATTGGCGATATGTGCAAGATCTTCCGGAGAAAGATCATCGATTGTTGAGGCACAGATAGACCCAAGATGGCTGATCAGATCAGGAGAGGATTTCCGGCTATGTGCGAGGAGACTGACGATGCCTGTGACTGAGAGAGGCGATAGCCGTTGTGCCGAAAACAAAGGATGGGAGGGAGAGCGAGAAGAGAGCGCATCGAGAAACCTCTCGGGCCGAAACCTTGTTTGTAAGAAAAGCCGAGCCAATTGCGCAACTTGATCGGGCTGAATATCCGGAAGTCGAGCGCAAAGGGCGGCGTCAAGATCTCTGAGGAGCAAGATGTCGCCTTGCGGTGTGAGGTGACGGTCTGATGGGGTTTCGCCAAGCGACAAGCCGATTTCCGGAGGCGATCCTGGTCTCGCCGGAAACGTGGGAGTTGATGACATCGCATGGGAGGGCATATCGACACCCTGGTCAGCAGCGGAGCTTGGTGGATTCGGTGAACGGGTGAGGATTTGTGGGCGGCGATTCGCTTTGGGGGCTCGGGTGTGCTCAGCGTAAGATGTAAGAGTTTGACGAGCCTGAGAGATGAAAGACGTAGTATCAAGGCTGAGAAATCGATTGTTATTATGGGATGGTGGCAGATGCGGAATATCGGTGGGGCTCGAAACTGAGTTTCCTGGAGATCGCCTGGAGATGGTTGAGTAATGGGAATGGGTTGTGCGGATCAAGGGCCGAAAATGGAGAACCAGCGAGGAGGGGTCGAGCGCAAAGGGATATGCCCAGAAAGGTGTTGAGCACCAGCTGAGATGAACCAGACGGCTCAAGGCCGATCGGTGCCAGAGCAGCATGGTGACGGTGCGATCAACCAGATCAGGGAGAGAACGCCGCCACTGCCCCAGTTTTGTTTTTTCATCCGCCCGTCAGGATGACGCGGCTGCACAGGCGCGGAAGGCTTCGACCAATGAGACTTCATGCAAGAACCACAATCGCAAGAAGGCAACAACAGAGAACGCGAGCAACGGAGGATGAGCTTGCAAAAGGAGGAAAGGGGGGCAGAGAGACCTGAGGTCGATGAGGAACAGTTGGTGACGGCCATCGCGGAATCATCGACACGACTTGAGCACCAAAAAATTGGTCAGCGGAAAGGAACGGAAGCAGTTGCGATCAACTGTCTCACGGAACGGAGGGAGGGACAGACACGGACACTTAGAATGAAAACATGAGAATGACGGAAGTTGAAAAGGGGTTTCTGACTGAGCAAAGTCCATTGTGGGGTCGGGCCAGGGTGGGCCAGGTTGGATGGTAGATTAGCGATTTCCTGTCCAGGCTCAGTCCATATCGAGTCCAAGATCAGTCCATATCCAGTGCAAATCACGCTCAGATCGAGTCCAGGATCAGTCCATGCCCACATGGCCCCTGGGATAGTTGTGCATCCGCGGCGAAAGGAGCGTGATCTTTCAGCGGGCGGCCTGGCTTGGTATGGCTTGGTATGGCTTGGTATGGCTTGGTATGGCTTGGCATGGCTTGGTATGGCTTGGTATGGATTGGCTGGGTGTGGTAACAGAGGAGCTTGGCTCGGAGTGGTGACAGAGCTTGGCTGGGTGTGATAGCAGAGCTTGGCACTGGCAGCAAGCGGAAACAGGTGAGAGCCTCGGGGTCACATTTCGTGGTGGAGTCAATGGGGTCGATGGGGTCGATGGGGTCAATGGAGTCAATGGAGTCGATGGAGTCAATGGAGTCAGTGGAGTCCATAGCGGGTGCATATATAAGGCTTTTGCCTTGGTGTCTCTGACGGGCCCTGGCACTGGATTGACACTGGGTTGTCGCTGAGCAATGGTACCGAGCGATGGAACTGAGCGATGGCATTGGTTGCTGGCCTTGCCAGCCAGGACATTCTACAGCCGTCGCTGCAGCCGTCGCTGCAGCCGTCACCGCAGCCGTCACCGCGACTCTCGATCCCATGGGAGGGAACTCCAGCCCGCCAGAGAAACACTCTTCGGGCTTGAGCAGCCGATACCACCGGCATCGGTGCGGCCAGCCCCGCAAAGTGCCTGAGAAGGTGGCAAGCGAGACATCTTGGGTCGCGCCTGTGGCGAGCAAGGCATTCTGGGCAGGGCCAGTGGCGTGGCCGGTGGCGGGGCCAAGTGCCGAAGATTCGATGATGGAAACTGGGCGGATTGGGAGATGGGGCGAGCGGGTGAAGCGAATAGTCACGAGGTTTCGTGGTGTAGTTGGTTATCACGTGAGTCTAACACACTCAAGGTCTCCGGTTCGATCCCGGACGAAACCATTGTTTGGCTCCGCTAGCTCAGTTGGTTAGAGCGTGGTGCTAATAACGCCAAGGTCACAGGTTCGATCCCTGTGCGGAGCATTTTTGCTGCCCACTTCGCCTGGCCCCCGTCACTGTCTTTTCTCCGTCCATTATTCACCTTGACTCTCATTCTCACTGCGTCTCACTGCGTCTCGCTGCACTCTACTGCATCCCATTGCGCCTACTCTCTGCTTGCTCGCTGCATCCTACTGCACCCCATTCCGCTCCCGCCTCTGTCGCACGGTCTGGTCTGGGGGGGAGGGCGGTGTTGGCAATGTGCTCGCGCGGATCGTGGCTGCATGTTATGAACGCGTACCATGATTGGCGTTGTGGCGCAGCGCATTGTCATGGCACTCATGAGCATCCGGGACTGGCGACGGTCTAGAACCTTCCTGCACCATGCATTAGATTAGTTCATTCATTTACTTTATTTGATCACAGAGTGGCTTATCCTGTGGCTGAGCTCGATGACATGATAGATTAGATGGTCGAGGTATAAATAGAGGAGCTCAGGGGCCAGAAGGAAATCACACCCAGTGAATTATCTTATCACCTTTCTGAATATAAGATCATCACTCTCTCGTACCTTGCCCTTGCTCCCTGCCCCTGCTCCTTGTTCTTGCCCTCGTTCCGATTCCCACGCCTTGTCTGCACCGTCAAGAACCCACTCGGTCTGCTGACACCTGTTTCCCACGCCTCGTTCCTGACATCATAATTCACTCCACCCCCCTTGCCTTGTCCTACTACCATGGCTGACCCCATCCAGGCCGTCCTTGAACAGCTGGCTGCTCTGACTACTCAGAACCAGCAGCAGCAAGAGACTATCCTTGAGCTTCAACGCCAACTGCAGCACCAGCATCACCAATTCCAGATGCTTCAACAAGTCCAAGTGCCTCAGCTTCCCCCGCCCCAGGAGCACAACGTGGTCTTCAGAGAGCCCAAGGTCCCCTGCCCGGACAAATTCTCTGGTGCCGCAAAGGACATCAAGAACTTTATCGCGAACGTCAACAACGTCATCGCGCTTCAACCCACGCGTTTCCCGGACGAGCGCGTCAAGATCCTCTACACGGGAACGCTCCTCTCGGACCAAGCTCTATCGTGGTTCCGGACCCTTGAAGACGTGCCGGTGACCCTCCAAGATTTCTGGCTTCAACTGAATAACACCTTCGGGGATCCCCACTCCGTCTGGAGTGCAAGGTCCAAGCTCAAGACCCTGAACCAAGGCAGGCAACCTTGTGTCGCGTACACGACGCGCTTCAAGCAGCTCGCCCTCGAGTCGGGCTACAACGAGGAAGCCCTCTGTAGGAGATGGTATCTCCGACGCTGTGCTGCGCGTACTGCGCGTACTGCGCGGCGCAGTGGGTCGTGACCTGTGCTGCGCTTTGCGTTTTCACGCACCGCAGGCAGGCCACCGCAGGGTATACCTGCGGGTTGCCCCCGTTCCCCCCGTTTGTCTGGAGTTCGGTTTTATCGTGAATAAACGTAAGTGCTCCCCGAGCTCACCCGTCCGCTAGAGTAGCCTAGCACCGCCCTGTTCTGCCCCGTCCTGTCTTGTCTTGTACCCCCTCCCTCCCCGTCTTGCCCCAACGTCCCAGTAGTGGACGTTACATGGTAGCATCGGAAATCCTCGTCTTGTTTTCGTCCTGTTTGTCCTCTTTCTAGATCCTCAAGCTGGATCCCGCCTCTCTTGCCGACCGACTCTCCTCTCTGTCCCTGGAGCCTGCCCCTGCCATGAGCAACCCCCGCCCACTTCCGGAAGCCTTCCTCAAGACCTTCCGTGCCCCAGTGTTTACTGGGAAGAGCCGCTCCTCCTCGGTGGAGGACTGGCTGCAGCAACTCGAGGACTACCTCGATGCTGCCCAAGTCGCCCCCACCCACCACATCGTCGCCGCCAAGCTCTGCTTAAAGGACCAGGCGTACCGTTGGTACCGCCGCCAAGGGTTCGACGAGCAGAGCGAAGGTGTGTTTGACGACTTCAAGGACCGCCTCCGTCGCCGCTTCGGCAGCCCCAATGCTGAACTCATTGCCCGTGACAAGCTATACTCTCTCGTGCAGCGTGGTTCTGTGACCCGCTACATCGAGGAGTTTGAAGACCTCTCCTCCCAGATTGAGGAGCTGGGCTCTGCTGATGCGATGTACCTCTTCCAGAAGGGCCTCAAGCCCAAGATCAGAGAGTACATCGCCAGCAACCCTGATGCCCGCAAGTCCCTGGACGTGATGATGGACGTTGCCGAGAACCTCGACAACGTCCAGTACCATGGCCGCCAGTTCTACCCGCAGCTGGCAGGCGGCCATCGGTCTCATCACGTCCCAGCCCGTCCGCCTCGCCCGGCCCCGCCCGCAAGACCCATGCCTGAGCCCATGGACGTTGACGTCAACGCCATGGAGGCTCGTGGCCCTCCCCGCTCCCGGTTCCAGCAAGCTGCCACTGTCTCCCCCAAGGACAGACAGAAGCAGGAGGACCTCCGCCATGGTTCCTGCTTCTTCTGTCACCGACCGGGACACCAGGCCAAGGAGTGCCCCATGAAGTCGGGAAACGGCCGACCCTACTAGGTGGCTCTGGAGCCCTAGTAGGAGACCAACGCCGTGGATTGCTCAATGCAGTCCACGCGTCTCCAGAGGAAGTTCACCTCGCCCCCTCCCCCGAAGGAGAAACAAACCAAGTGTTGTGCGTCGTGCGAGAGGTGCATGGTGGCGCAAGCCGCCTGCCTCTCCACGAACGTGAAGAGAAAACCAAAATTGAAAACCAAAACAAAAAAGAAAATCAAGAACCCTTGAGGGACAGGACCGCCTGTGCCCTCACCCCTGTCAAGTCGTGTGTGTCGGATGCTTCCGACATGTGTCCGCAAGCCGTGGACGTCGTGTGCAATGGCGTGCTGACGCCGCAGGCCCCCGCAATGGCCGAACCCTATCCAAAATGTCCGAGTGGCCGTGATGAAGCCAACCAAGACCAAGTGTCGCCCGTTCCCCCAAGTCAAGTCATGGTGCAGGAGGCTGTGCAGGAGGACCATGAAGAGTCCCTGCTGTACCTCCCTGCCACCGTCCAAGGTCACACCGTCCGAATGATGGTGGACTCTGGAGCAAGCTGCAACTTTGTCAGCAGACGCTTGCTCCAGGAGCTCAACATACATGCAACCAAGAAGAAGTCGCCGATGAGTGTGGCGCTTGCAGACGATCGTGTGCAGCAGTGCACACACCAAGTGGTCCTGCGAGTGGCCCTCCATCCCAAGTACCATCCTGTCCTGTTGTTCCAAGTGATCGACACCAAGTTCGATGCCATCCTCGGCATGAGCTGGCTTGCTCGTGCCGAGCCGACTCCAGTCGTCGACTGGAAAGGCCGCACTGTCCGTGTTGGCCCTGACATTGTCCTGCAGGGCATGGCCTCACCCAACATGCCACCTCTCCTCTCAGCCATGCAATTCAAGAGGCTGATCAAGAAGGACACGTCGTTCCTCTGTGTCGTGCGTGAGGTCGACGACACCGACCAAGCCGGTCCCGGTCCCCCGCCTGTGGTGACCAAGCTGCTCGACGAGTACAAGGACGTATTCCCCGACCAGTTGCCACAATGCCTGCCACCCCAACGCACCGTCGATCATCGCATCGACATCGAACCAGGCTCGTCGCCTCCGTCAAGACCGACGTACCAACTGTCGCTGACGGAGATGGACGAACTCAAGCGCCAGTTGGATGACCTCCTCGCCCATGGGTTCATCCGCCCGAGCCAGTCACCGTATGGTGCACCAGTGCTCTTTGTCAAGAAGAAAGAAGGTGATCTCAGGATGTGCGTCGACTATCGCGCACTAAACAAACAGACCATCAAGAACACCTACCCGTTGCCCAGGATCGACGAGTTGATGGATCGTCTGAGTGGAGCAAAGGTCTTTAGCAAGATAGACCTCCGCTCAGGCTACCATCAGATCCGCATCCACGAGGATGATGTCCACAAGACCGCCTTCAGGACTCGCTACGGACTGTACGAGTTCCTAGTGCTGCCGTTCGGATTGACGAACGCACCTGCCACGTTCATGCAGCTGATGAACGATGTGTTCCGCCAAGAGCTCGACAACTCTGTCATCGTGTACCTGGATGATATCCTTGTGTACAGCAAGGATGAAGCGACCCATGAAGGTCATGTCGCCCGCGTGCTGGCCAAGCTACGCGAGCACAAGTTGTATGCCAAACTGTCCAAGTGTGAGTTCTTCAAGAATCAAGTCCCGTTCCTGGGACACGTTGTCTCAGGAAGAGGAATCGAAGTCGACCCCGCCAAGGTCAAGTCTGTGGTCGAGTGGCCGCCGCTCGCATGCGTCTCTGACGTGCAGTCGTTTCTCGGTCTCGTCAACTACTACCGCCGATTCATCCCCGATCTGGCGCGCACTGCCGGTCCACTCACAGACCTACTCCGCAAAGAGTGCCCCTTCGTGTGGGACCACCCACAACGCCAAGCGTTCGAGACCCTCAAGCACGCCTTGACGAACGCTCCTGTCCTCGCTGTGTTCGACCCGAACACGGATGTCTCCGTGCACACCGACGCCTCCGACTTTGCGGTGGGAGCTGTTTTGATGCAGGAGGGAAGGCCCGTTGCCTTCGAGTCGCGCAAACTGTCCCAACACGAGATCAACTATCCCGTGCACGAGAAGGAGCAGCTTGCGATCATCTACGCGCTGCAGAAGTTCCGAGTGTACCTCCACGGTACCGCCAAGCCCTTCAAGATTGTGACGGACCACCAGTCACTGCGTTACCTCGACACCAAGAAGAACCTGAGCCGACGCCAAGCGCGATGGATGGAGTTCCTCGCCGAGTACAACTACGAGGTTGTATACCAGAAAGGCAAACTCAATGTGGTGCCTGACGCACTGTCCCGACGCCCCGACTACCAATTGGCGTCACTGTACGAGTCGACTGTCAGTGTCGACAACACGATGCTGGATGTTGTCCGAGACAACATCGCCAACGACAAACAGTTCGGAGAACTGTTCCGAA